TTTAAACCCATCAATGCGAGAATCACCGGGACCATATTCCAAGGAAGATATAACATCGAGCAATCTTATTTCTCACCCCCGGTATATACGTGGTATATGTATTCCCATAAGAAAGTTGGCACACTTATTTTCAATCCTCATTTCGTAGCTTCTTTCCGTTTCTTCACCCTTACCATCTTTGCTCTTTTCACGACGACGGCGACGGCGACGGCAACGGCGACGGCGACAGCGACGACGACGAAGACGACGACGAAGATAACAACGACGAATCGACAACGACAACGGCACGCGAGAACACACGACACAGCACGCACACAACACGCATATGCAGCACAGACGAGAAGACACTTACGATGACCGTATCGGAAGGATAGTGGCAGGCCAGGACTGCTGCTGCTGCTGGTGCTGCTGCTACTGCTACTGCTACTGCTGCCAACGAGCAAACTCCTCGGAACTCGCGAGCTTTTTCGCTCGCCTATCTCATCGTCCGTACACCCCCAAGATCTCTGTTCGAGCGTGGAAAGCAAGCGGGAGGGTGGGCGGTCAGGACCGCTGGAAAACGGCGAAGGAGGAGGAGGAGGAGGAGGAGGAGGTGGAGGAGGAGGAAGAAGAGAAGAAAGAGGAGGAGGAGGAGGAGGAGGAAGTGCTCCCTCGCCGACGGATCGCGGGAGAGAAAAGGTGGGGGATCGCTCGTTCTCGTCGTCGCTACACTGTCGAGAGGGGTGGCTAGTGGAAAAGCGAAAGAGGGGCGTCGACGAGCATGGATATGGGTCACTCGGCGATCGATGCCGATAGAGAGTGTCGCTGCGTTCTTCGAACTCCCTTTCGATCCCTTACGTCATTTTCTCTTTCTCTCTTCCTCTATTTCTTTTATCTCAATTTCCTTTCCCTCGCCCTCCACCCCCCTCCATCCTCCCTCAACACCCTCACAACTTTCGCACTTCCTTGTGCGTTAATTTTCCTTTTTCCTTTTTTCCTTTTTCAAAAGTATCATCAAATAAAACTAGATAGAAGCTTTGCTTTTCATTCCTTTCTCATTGTTAGCCCCCTCCCTTCAAATATGGCGGTGATACTTTATCATCACGTTTTAGTTTCATAAACGTGCGACATCCGGCTGGTCTACTGACTTAACAGAGTGCTTCCGTACGCATCTACACGAGGGTGTAGCTTTCACAAAAGACCAATCAATACGCGCGAGACGATCTACCGATATCTCGCCCTCGCCATTGCCCTCTCGCTACCCTCGTCCTCGATCTCTCTCTCTCTCTCTTACATATACACACGCATACACGTGCGCGCGCTTACACAGCTATCTAGCGGTGCTATTGGTCTGTTTCCCCCTCTCTATTTCCTACTTTTTCACCCTACTCTTACTCTACCACCCATTTTCACAACCTATTCTTTCTCTCTCTCTCTCTCTCTCTCTTCTTCCCGTTCCAATCTCTTCCCTTTTTCCCGAAATATCATTCTTTCTTTCATACATCCTTTGCAGCAAGAGAATCGCTGCGAAATGAGAGACGTGATACGAGAATAAGTGCCGACGAGTCACTAAACCTATCGCCGATAATAATTAAGAGGTAGACGAAAATTCATTAGTCGACGAATTCCTCCTAGTCCTTCTCCCCCGTTGGCCCATTTGCTATCTCGTTCATCGTAGTAATTCGGAATAATCGTTGTTGAGAAAGTCAGGGCCGTATATTATTTTCAGATATATATATATGCTCCGTATAAATAATTTTTATCATGTTCTAAAAATATTTTCTATTTTGTCATATATTATAGATTTTTATGTTTTTAATTATCAATTACCTTGATAATGATCGTATTTAAAAACGAATCGGGTTTACTTTTGTGTATAACCGTGGAACGTGCTTTTCGAGAAGCGACACACGATTTCCCATGGCTAGGGAAAATAGGGGAAAAAAGAGAGAACGATGTTCTAATTACGGCACTGCTTCGGGCGCAGGCGTTTCGATGATCCGACGACGTCACAAGTTTCTCCCTTTCTCTCTCTCCATCTCTTTCTCTCTTGTTCTTACGCACACACACATACAGGTATAGTCTGTTATACGCTTATCAATGAACGTACGACGCCTACGGCAAATACCTGTTCCCTCTAGTGGTGAACCGGTCGACCCACCCGTTAGCCTTGTCACTACTCTCGATTCCCGTAGCACCCTTGCTTTTCTTCCTTCTTCTTTCTTCTTTTCTTTTTCTCTTTCGTCATCATTGTTTTCACGTATACGACAATACGAATCACGATGCCTTCTGAACTTTCAACCAATGATCGACGATGAATCAAGCTTAGTCAATGTACGTACTACTCACCTATCTACCTACCTACCTACCTACCTACCTAACTACCTACCTACATACATAGGTATGTAGGTAGGTAGTTACTCGTCATACATACAATCATCCATAGACACACACCCACATACTTATGTCTTGTTATTAAAGTGCCGTTGATTCTGTCATCACAGCACGCATCTTTCCCATTCACCATTTCGATTCGAGCTAAAATCGATCGCAGTCGCTTTTAAGTACATATGTATATATAGATATATCCTAAGAACGCTAGTATTCCTATTTAAAGATTTTTATTATATATAAAATCTCTTATACGCGCTCGCGCGTTATTTGTATTTTTCTTTGCTTTTTCCTCTTTTTTTTCCCACTTTTTTTTCTCAAATAACATCTCGATTCTAATCTCTTTCTATCTCTAGAGTTAGGCAAAATATTAATTTTATCTAACTAGAAATTTGGTAAAGAAGAAAAGAAAAAAAAAACGAACAAACGAATTGCCATCGATCGTGTAATTTTCAGATTTTCTTTTTTTTTTCGCATTTTGAGAAACATCTTTTATTTGTTCAAACCTGTCGTTTTATCTTTCTCTCTCTCTCTCTTTCTCTTCCTCTTTCCCTTAACGATATATACAACGTCTTTGGTTCGGATTATGTAAGAAGAAATAAAGAAGAAAAGAAAGGGTAGAAGGGAGGAACAACTAAACATGAACAAAGACGTAAGATACGTACATATACACACACACACACACACATACAAATGATTTTTATCGATGAACTTTATACGCTATCTTTATCCATCGAATCGTCGTGAAACTAATATTGTTAAGTCATTTCGTTTTATCGACAACAACGGTACTCAATCAATTTGCTGATAAATGAATGTAACATGCACGATTTTACTTTTTTCGATAACTTAATTTAGGAACAATTACCTCAATAATTTATTATCGGTCCGATAATGATTCGAGAAACGTCGCAGAGTATGCAAATCTCTCGCAAGTGAAAAAAGTGTTGTGCGTTAATAGGAATTGTATCATCGATTAGAATTTTTTTTCTTTTTTTTTCCATTTTTTCTTCTTCTTTTTTTTTATATATATATATAAAATAATTTTCCTTTCGTTCCTTTCTTTTCTCTAACCTTCCTGATCTGTCTATCTATTTATTTATTTATTTCTATTTTTCTTTCTTTTGGTTTGGTTTTGTTTTGTTTTGTTTTCTTTTTCGTTTCTTTTTCTTTTCTTCTTCTTCTTCTTTTTTTTTTTTTTTTATAATTTATTACTTGACCATTTTATGAATATTCCGACAGAAAGACTAAACGACAAACTAGTACAACTTTTGACTTATGACAATATAAAAATATTTGTACGATTAGAAGGAATATATATCTATACTCCGTTGAATGAATCACGTTAATAGAAATAAACAAAATATTCGCGTGGTAAGCACGTGATAGATGCGATGGATACCAGCTATTGGTTTTCAAACGATAGTCAATTGTAAAATTCAGGAGCGAAAATAAATGGTTCATAATTATGCTAGCTTCGATTTTTCAGGCTTAGAAGTCGAATGAGACGGATTACTAACAGATTGTTGATGGTGTAGGATCTGAATACGTTCCTGGTCCCGATCACGCGTGTTTTTTTTTATTTCTATTGACTCAACTCATTGAACAGAGTATATTTAAATAATGTATCAAATATAATATATGTATTCAAATATATTACCTCGTAGAATGTTTATTCTTTCTTGCAGGTTAAACATTTATGGGGTTTCCGTCGATGGTAAAGAAGGAAATAAATCATTTGTTATTTTGCCAGTGATCATTTGTTGTGCCTATAACGATTATTGCAAAGGTATATATGATTTTTATTATTATTATTATTATTATTATTATTATTATTATTATTATTATTAATTATTTAGTATGCGAATCAGACGGATTGTTCCGAAAAATATTTAAATACTTTTAATAGTTCGTGTTTATGAAATTTTTCTCTTATTCTTTCTTTCTCCCTCACCCTTTATCCTCTTCCTCCGTCCATTTACATATCCTTCACTTAATCTTGTAATTTATAATTCATGAACAATAACTTTTCATTGATAATTTTAATAATTGTATTAATGCGATTATATGAATTATTTTGTAAAAGTATATATACTGTTTAAATATTTGTTCAAGCGATTAATACGAACGATAATATTTTTCTAGTATGAAACTCGGACATACGATCGAGGATTCAAGAAAAAAGTATCCCGAACTTACGGAAGAACTTTTGGAAAAGTTGAAAGAATGGGTACAACAATGCAATCTTTCTGATGTTCCACAAGAGCAATTGGCAATCTTTGCACAGAGTTGTTATTTTCAAACGGATGCTACATTACGATGCATGGAGACTTATTACAGAATAAGAACAAACACTCCGGAATTTTTTAGCAATCGTGATATCAAATTAGATAACTTGCAATGTTCCCTGAAAGTACTGTAAGCTTTATTTGTCTCTTCTTCTTTTTTTTTTCTTTTTTCTTTTTTTTACTTTACCATGGCTGAAAGAGAAAATATAACTTTTATCATATTCATCGTAAATATACTTTACGCCTTTCATTATTAATATTACACTTTGTACTTACGATAAATTATGGAATATGATTTTTTTTTTAGATATAACAATTTTATTGAAAATTGGTTAGATATTTATAAATATTTTTACGTGACATCTCTACTGTGATACTCGTAATGTTGGTTACGTGATAACAATATATTATATATATTATATATGTATATATGTATTGTACAATTCTTTAGGCTTTCTCTTCATGCACGAACATGACGAGTGCATTGAACTCTAATCGTACATAAATACATATATGTCATATATGTACATCTATATAAAATGAGATAATTAAAACATTTCATTATGTTATAGGGAATTTGTAGTGCTACCTGTACCGGATCCCAATGGATATAATATAATTTTTCATCGACTGGCAGACAGTAAAGCAAGTAAATATTTCTTGAATGATGCTATAAAATTAATGATGATGACCGTGGATGAGAATCTTTACTACTATGGCTGTTCACCCGGTTATATTTTTCTTTTCGACATGGCCGGTGTTAATATAGCCCATTTAACGAGAATATCCATTGGCAGTATTCGAAAATTATTTGAATATGTGCAAGAGGGAATGCCGGTTAGATTGAAGGCTATTCACGTAATAAATGTCGTTGGTTTTATGGATAAAATTCTTTCAATCCTGAAGCCATTTATGAATAGCGAAATCTTTGAAATGGTAAAGTTTTACGAATAGAAATGTATTTTTTTTTTTTTTTTTTTTAAAAGGCCAATTAATATATCGCTGAATCAATTATTTTTTACAGTTACATTTACATACCGGCGAGATATCGGAAATTTACCAATATATACCACCTATGTGCCTTCCAAAGGATTATGGAGGTGAATTGGACTGCATCGAAGTACTTCATGGTAATTCGAATAATATCGAGCATCAACACTTATAATATATTATAATCCATAAATAATATTATTTAATAATATATACATATCTTTATTTACATATATACGTATGTACGTATTTGTTTAGGGGAACATTTACGTAAGTTGGAACAATTGAGAGATTATTTCCATGAGGAAGAGACTATACGTCAGAACTATAATACCTCGATGAAAAAAGCAAAATAAATTATGATGTTACAATGGGTTTTTAATAAAGACTAAACAAAAAAAAAAAAATAAATAAATAAATAAATAAATAAATAAATAAATAAATAAATAAATAAAGGAAAAAAAGAGAAAAAAAAAAAGAAAAAAAAATTGTACTCTAGAAATTTTTTATCATCGAATACAATTGTTAATCAAAGACTGTACTAATATATAAATAAGATAAACGATCTCATATTTTAACTCATCGTTTTTTATATTTTTGTTCATTATATATATATATATGTGTGTGTGTGATTCGTAATCCGCTTAATGAACGTTCGCACTTGCGCTTTAACGCGGTCAGCAGAAAAATGTGTGCGTCTTTGTCGCACTTCGTACTACAGCGTGGCACTTTCGTGGTCGATTCTGATTCGACGTTACCAAAGCCGGTCTTTCTCTCACTCTCTCTCTTTCTCTCTCTCTCTCTCTCTCTCTCTCTCTCTCTCTCTTTCTCTCTTTCTCTCTATGATTTATTTTCGAATTCTCGATTAAATAAGAATAATTTATTATATAAAAATCGAATCAAAAAATTGTTTATCCATTTCCCTCTCTCTCTTTCTCTCATATAATATATTTATTTAATTAATGATAAAAATCGATCCTCTCGATTCGATCAACGACACGACACTGCTTCAATGTTTTCTATCTTTGTTTATTTCATACTCTATTCCTCTCTTTCTCTCTCTCACACACATACTCTCTCTCTCTCTCTCTCTCTCTCTCTCTCTCTTTATCCCCTCCACTACCGTCACTATTCATCATATCCAGTACCTATACATAATAGACACATGCATAAACTCTTCTTCTTCTTCTTCTGTTACTTTATCTCTTTTCTTCCTTCGATTATATCGTTACGATAAACGTACGAGAGAGAGAGATAAAGTCCGATATTAACAAGAATCAACTATAAACAATTTAAAAAAGAAAATTGATCTAAGTTAATCTGTGAATTTATTTAATGAATCTTTATAATTGGTGATGACAATCGTATATTAAAGAGAGAAACAGATACGATTTTCTTTCGTCGAAGTTTTTTTATTGTGATATACGTGACTTCTTTTTTTTCTTTCTCACTTTCTTTCTATCTCTATCCCTTTCTTACTTTTTTTTTCCTTTCTTTTCTTTTTATCTAATCGAATTAATCGGTAATTCTTCGTTAATAAGATGTTAATACCGTTGATCATATTCATCGGCACGATCATTGGATCGAGCATTTCTATCGCCGAGGATTGCAAAGGTTGCGTCCCTTTGGATTCTTATTCCTTCGACAAGGTATAATTTTATTTTTGTCTTTATACTTTTTTTTTTTTAATTGATATTATAGATGTTTTTCACGAATTTCTCTTCTTTTTATTTTTTGTTTTGTTTCGTTTTTATTATTAGTGTTCTTATTTTTTCAACCGTTGCTATTGTTACCTATTATAGTGTATATATGTTAGGTATATATATATATACATACACATATATATATATATATATATATATATATATATATATATTATATAGTGTCATATATTTTATACGGTCTTTTTTTTCTTATACATAAAACTTGTTTGTATAAGTACACATATATACATACATACATATACACACATTCATCATCTTTTAATCCTTCTTTTCTTCTTATCTCATGTAAATTGTAAATTCATAGAGATAATTAATATCTCTAAATATAATGCAAATGTTTATTATCTATGATACAAATATTTTGACATAAAAATCATACAAATAAGATATTATTTTATATTATGAAGAAATAACAAAATACATTCTTATTATAATTTAAATTTCATATTTGATTTTCTATATTGTTATTAATAATTATAGGTGATAGCAAAATTTAAGGCGTCAGTTGTTAAATTTGATGTAGCATTTCCATATGGAGAAAAACATTTACAATTTGGAAAGATAGCAGCATCTACTAAAGAGTCTCAAGATCTTTTAGTTGCTGAAGTTGGCGTTAAAGATTTTGGCAATAAAGATAACGCAGACTTGGCCAAACGTTATAACATAAAGAAAGAAGATTTTCCAATTGTATTATTATTTTTACAAGGAAAAACAGAACCAATTAGATTTATTGCAGAAAAGGATGATGATTTTACTGCAGACAATATCAAACGATTTGTTAAATCAAAGTCAGGCGTTTATCTTGGATTACCTGGTTGTGTAGAGCAATTGGATAGACTTGCTGAGGAATTTAAAATCAGTGTAGAAAATGATAGAGAGGTAAGACGAGATAATTTAAAGAGATAATGTTCAATACTGTTAAATTGTTTCTTTATATTAATAAATCTATATATTTCCTTTTCCCACCCTCTTCTCCCACCCAGGAAATATTACGCAAAGCTAAAGTCTTCGAGGAAATATTACCAGAAACTCAACGTACAGCTGCAAAGGTGTACGTTAAAACTATGGAAAGAATATTGGAACGAGGAGATATATTTGTTCAAACAGAACAAACACGACTTGAAGGCCTCCTAAAAGGAAAATTATCAGATGAGAAAAAACGTACAATGGAAGAAAGGAGAAACATTTTACAATCATTTACGCACAGGGATGAGCTATGAAAAAATTTTGTACACAATATAAATCTCAAAGATATAAAAAAAATATTCAAATATTAAAATTTGCCTTGGTTTTTTTTTTATTTTTATATTTTTTATTTTGTTAAAGTTGATATCTTCTTTAATAATTGCTTGACTCAAAGTAATTACATTTTTATATTTTATAAATTTGTTAATAAAGCACAGGAGACAAAAACAAATATTATTAAATGAAAATATACTCCAACATAATGAGTAATTTACTCGATTATCGTTTTAAAATTCATTTGTTACTATCGCCATTAATTCCATATATTTATTAACTTTAATGTTAAGGTCAAATTATAGTAAAAGTAGTAATACATAAAATATCTCTCAACAAAGGACTGCTACAAAACAAAATTTCACTTCTATTATATGTAAATGCGAAGTTTACAAATTGATGTAATTTTCACACATTTATTCAGATTTGTATCGATAAACATCTTTTAGTATAAATGCTATCGAACTTTCATTTACTCTTGATTAAAAAAATCGCGACATATAACGTTTATATAAACAACGCCTTATTTTAATAAAGTGAAAATATACTTTAGTTTGTATCGAATGACATTGCTAAAAATTTTTCTATAAAATCATTTGTAAATCTTTTAAGCATTGGTAGAATATTATTTGAATGCATACATGTACATATATATGTATGTACATGTTTACACAATTATTGCATATTGCTTGGAATGTGCCATGGATATTAACTTCACTTTTCCCTTGCACTATTGAAAGTTCATTATTATTATATGTGTTTATTAATTTTTTGAATTATCATGCACTTCTAAGTTTTCAAGTCCTTTGGTTACTTCCTCTGTATTTTCTATAATTTTTACTTTTTCCACTGAATCTTTAGAAACCTCTTTGCTAACTTTGTTTGTTTGTTCTTCATTGTCAGTACTCTCACTGTAGCTTACATCACTGCAGGATTCACTATCACTATCGACTTGCTTAACTTCTGGATTGCTTTTACCAGCATAAATTTCACATTCAGATCCCACTACAGCTTTTGCCTTTTCAAAGGCATCTTTCCATAATGATGCATCTTGGATAAAAAAAATAAAAAAATAAAAAAAATAAAAAAAAAATAAAAAAGAATAAAAGAAAACAATATATCCATTAAATATGATAAAAATAGGTTATGCTCTTATCAATGTTATTAGGTAGATCTAACTAAACATATGTCATGTTACCTTAAAGCACATATGCAATGAAGAAGTAAAAAATATTAATATAGAAAAAATATGGAATAAAACAAAGAAATTCTTACTTTCAGCATTCGCAAAACGTATTGCAAGTAATTCTGGTTTAAGTTGTTCATCTGCAAAATCAGCAAGAACACTCCAAACCCAAGCTCTGTCGCTGCCACAGTTTGGTTTTAATTCCATCCAAGGAGTAACAAAATGATTAGCACATATTTTCAATGTCTTGTCTCTGCGCATTACTACTCTGACTGTATTTTTGGTCTTATGTCTTAACAGTTTCACTTCTCCAGTACCACGTTCTTTCCATTCTGGTGGACTACTTGTAGAGTCATAACGATATAGTTTAGCTCTTCTGTAATTATAATAATTATTATACTACATCTATTTCTTTTCAAATATACTTTAAATATATGATAGATTACTACTCCTCCTATAAATTTAAATTTACAATTTAATCATCTCAACTTCATCTTCTTCATTATTGGAAACCTCTATTAGAGGTAAAGATATGATCGGTTCAAAATGTACATCGTTTTCTGTATTAACATCGTCATTATCTTGAACTTCACAATTTGTACCCTTTACATCCACATGATCTCCATTCAACTGTATTATGAATGATGCATTATTATTTGTGAACAATTTGTGAAATATGTATTTTTTATACAATTAGATTTGACTCTCTTTGTAATATGAACTTTAATTATTTAATTATTTAAGCTGGCTAGAAAATAATTAATTTAATGAAACATATAAAGATTTTTCTATGATATGATATCTTATTATTATTAGTATTTTATTATCATTATCATTATCGTTAACATTATCGTTATTATTATTGTTATTATTGTTATTATTATTATTATTATTGTTATTATTGTTATTGTTACTAATAAAAAATAAAATATGGCCTTTAAGATATGAAAAAAATTGTAGCAACAAAAGGTCCTTGAGTTTTTTTTCAAATAAAATTTTTAACGAGATCTATGAAAAATATGAAATAATTACCACGTTTTCTGGCATATTTTTCTAACGTAGAATAATAGAATCAGTGAGAAGAATTGCCACACCACTTAACGCTGATATTTCCAACACAATAAATCGCAAAGCGAAAATAAATTTCGATTCGAATAATCACAAAATTCGTTTATTAATATAACGTTGCACGCAATTTCCCAATTTTTCGATTATCTTTTCCTATCTTCGTTCAAGGGAAATAACTTCGTATGCGCGTAAGTTTTTCATGTTATCGTCAACTGTTTTAAAGTACGGCGACATTCTTTTAGAATTTATATTTGATCGAATAACGTTCAAGTAGACTTGCAAGAGTCGCTTGCTGTTTGGATACGACAGCTCATAAGTTGTCACATTTAAAATTGACCAATTGGCGTTAAGGTTTGAGAAGAAAGTGCGCTCCGATTGGTCCTCAACGAAATAATAATCGTTATCGTTGACAAAAATCAATGTATAATATCCTTATTAAACTTAAATATTTAATGTTTATCGATTAAAATATAACAATCCAATGTAGAAAATTTTTAAATATTTATTTAGAACTATTCGTTTTATCGAAAGAAATTAAATCCAAAAGAATAAGGATACATCAAAAGTCCATGTACAGACGTACGATTCGTGGAAACATCGTATCACGATAGGAGAAAGTCCAAAGTTGTTTGAAATGATCGCTTGCTTCGAATGCGCATGTAACGAAAAAAATGTTGCGGCCAGTTGTAGCGACATAACCGTTGGCTCGGAGTATGAAGTGGTGGGGGAAAGAGCTTGGCGGCAGAAAAGAAGAAGGGAGGGAGAAAGAGAGAGAGAGAGAGAGAGAGTGAGAGTGAGAGAGAGAGAGAGAGAGAGAGAAAGAACGAGAAAGAGAACTGAAGGGAGTGGAGTGCGCGGTTGTCCGGGCGGCCATTGCGGGTACCTTGTCGAAAACCGCGAAGACGATAAAGTGCATTGTGTTAGGCGGATTAAAATCCAGAAGAATCAAGAGTCATCCTCGTATCAAGGTGCTCCGTGTGAAGCCCGGTACGCGCACGAAACTCCGGTCCGATGGCTGAGACCGACAAGTTAAACATTGACAGCATCATAGGTCGATTGTTAGAAGGTAAAGCTCTGCTCGATCGTCGTCCTTAAGAGGGGGGTATGAAACGGAATAAAGAGTAAGCCGCGTCACCCTTTCACGACTTCTTACCTTCGTTAAGTTCATCTTTCGAATAACTTTCATTTCTCCTTCGTATTATTTTCTGTATTTTTTTTCATTTCTTTTTTTTTTTTTTTCTTCCTCTTTTATCCATCGACATATGTATCTATTTTTTTTCTATCTCGAACCTTTCTTTATACCGATTACGCAATATAATCTAAACACGACCGATCATATTAAAGAAATCGAGTGAGTGAGAGAGAGAGAAAGAGAGACAGAGAGTGAGGGGAGAGAGAGAGAGAGAGAGAGAGAGGAAAAAAAGAGGTAGATTATTATCGATGGTTTGTTTACATAAAAATGAGGTTGACAACCGTACTCGAATTATCGGGACGTTTGGGCGAGGTCCGATTCTCTTTGGTTTTACTCTAAAATACATAATCTTTCTTCTTCGCGATAGTAAAAATATTGTTTGCACGAATATCGCCGATGTCGCCACCAATGTCTTGTTTATTATAGATTCTACCTATTAGCTATATTAAGAGCTCATGCTGATTCATGCAAATATTCGATCAAGGGTGCGTGCTTCTGTGTTAGATTTGCGTATACGCGCTTGCGTATCTGCGTGTCCTGTAATTTCTAAAAAAACACGAATATATCATGTATTAAATTTGAACCATAAAGTCCAAGATTTTCTAACGCCATCATACACTCTTGACCTTACTTGTTCTTTCATATTTTTGTTTTCTTATCATTTATATTTGAAAAACAAGATAAAATATATATATATATATATATATTATCTATATGTATATATATTATCTATACATATATATATCTTTATATATTTATCACTATAGCAAAATATATGTATTGTAATATATTTCATTTTATTAGTACGAGGTGCTAGACCAGGAAAAAATGTACAATTGTCCGAAGGAGAAATTCGGGGACTTTGTCTCAAATCCCGTGAAATTTTTCTGTCACAGCCTATTTTGCTAGAACTTGAAGCACCGCTTAAAATATGTGGTAAGTTTTTATAAAATACAATGGATTACTCATAAAAAAAGAAAATAAAAAAAAAAAAATAATAAAAGAAATAAAAATAAAAACCACTATTAATTTATTAATGTATTCAATTCAAGCTCGATTAATGATTTTCCTTTTTAAGGTGATATTCATGGTCAATATTACGACTTATTGCGACTTTTTGAATATGGTGGATTTCCACCCGAAAGCAATTATCTCTTTTTAGGAGATTACGTTGATAGAGGAAAACAATCTTTAGAAACCATTTGTCTTCTTCTTGCCTATAAGATCAAGTACCCTGAAAACTTTTTCTTACTCAGAGGTAACCATGAATGTGCTTCTATTAACAGGATATATGGATTTTATGACGAATGTAAGTATTTTGTAAAATTAAAATATCAATAATTCATTTTCCTTCATTCTTTTGAGGCAATTCATATTCAATATGTTTATCTTTTCATTACTTACAATAGATATATGTGAAAGTAAGAAAAGATTAATTCTATTTCTTTCTTTTTTCTTTTTTTCTTAATAAACTCATGTAACGCCATTTGTGACAGGCTTTTGCTTTTTTTTTTAAATTTATTAATCATATTGAATAATATTTCAGGTAAACGCCGATACAACATTAAGTTGTGGAAAACATTTACGGATTGCTTCAATTGTTTACCTGTTGCTGCTATTGTCGATGAGAAAATATTTTGTTGTCATGGTGGTTTGAGTCCGGATCTTCAAAGCATGGAACAAATCAGACGTATCATGCGACCAACGGATGTGCCAGATCAAGGACTTCTTTGTGATTTATTATGGTCTGATCCAGATAAAGATACTATGGGTTGGGGTGAGAATGATCGTGGCGTATCTTTCACATTTGGCGCAGAAATAGTTGCTAAATTTTTACATAAACACGATTTTGATCTGATATGCCGTGCACATCAGGTAAAGTATATACATTTCCCTTTATTCTCATTCAATATTTAAAATTTTAATTTAGATAAATTGATATTTTACTGATTTCATTAAAATTCCAGGTAGTTGAAGATGGCTATGAATTTTTTGCAAAGCGACAATTGGTAACTCTATTTTCGGCTCCAAATTATTGTGGCGAATTTGATAATGCTGGTGCCATGATGTCGGTAGACGAGACGCTCATGTGCAGTTTCCAAATTTTAAAACCAGCTGATAAAAGGAAATTCACTTATGGCGGTCTGAATGCAGGACGACCGGTAACACCTCCACGAGGTGCAAATAACAAAAATAAGAAGAAGTGAAATTATTAGAATGGTTTTTGGACGCAAAAAACTTAGGATCTATCTACCGTTTCCCACATCCGTTATTTTTTGTTTTTTTTTGTTTTTTTTTTGTGTTTTTTTTTTTTTTTTTTTTTTGACATTTGGAATTCTTATAAATGCGAGTTGCTATTAATTCATTGTGAAACATAGGGAGTTCATTCAAAACTAAAGAAAAAGAAAAAAAGAAAAACAAAAAAAAAGAAAAGAAAAAAAAAAGCAATGACTACTTAACAAAATGGTAGGTATAATCCGGAGAGGCGTTGCTCGTTATTCGCAAGAGATTTGAGAAAAAAATAATGAAAGTAATTCAGTTACGGTAAAGTAGAATCTATCGATCGGAAATTGATTTCTGTGTGTACGTATGCACGGTCGACTTAAATATGGAATAATAAACAAACAAAAAAAAAATATATATATATGTTATAAGAAAAGGCACGAATTAACGAGGAGGTAAAAAAAAAAGGGACAAAAATAATAAACACCGGGCATAAAGGACGAAAAATTTGATTAAAATGACGTAGATCTTATAATACTAATAATAATAATAATACTAATAATAATAATAATAATAATAATAATAATAATAAATAAATAATAATAAATAAATAAATAATAATAATAATAATAATAATAATAATAGTTATCACTCGTTCGATAAAACGATCTCTGAACTGTAATATTTAGCACTCTTGCAGCTTTTATATAGTTCTGTCAAAACTGTGACATCAAATTATATATACATATATATATATATTATTTTGTTTCGCTTAAATTTCATTTGTAATAACGCGATACGACCAAAAAAAAAAAAAAAAAAAAAAAAAAGAAAAAAGAAAAAAAAAAGATATCTGGCAATTTTATTATAGCAAAATAATATACGATATGTAAGCGCGATAATATATTATTAGTAACTGCCTATGATCGTAAACTATCGACTGTAATACGTCCATACGAATCTTGTACAAAGTAATATTATTATAATCGAAGCTCAACGTTTCTCTGAAAGAAAATAAAAAGAACGCTCGCACAAACTTCATAAAACAGATTGGTATAAATGAATCAATGGATTTGCGTAATGAACGTCTTTATATATATATATAAAAAAAAAAAAAAAGAAGAAAAAAAAGAAAAAAAAAAAATAAATAAATAAAGAAAAAAAAGAAAAAAAAATACATGCGAGATATATAAAATGAAATTGAGTTTCATTTTTTTGTAGAACCCTTATAAACAAATAAAATAGTTCATTTTTTTTAATCAAACGTTCGATCGTATCCTACGTATTGCGTGAATAACTCGTTATAATACGATGAGAAGGAAAATAACGTAAATGAGTATAGTAGTATAGCGCTGCAAAGCTTCTCCGGATTCTTGCTCGATATCATTAAATAATAAACATGAGAAGTAATAATATGTCGTTAAAATAACGTTTCAAATAAAAATACGTATAACGCAAGTGTAGTTGAGCGTTACGTTCAGAAATTTTAATAGAAAAACATGGAAAAAGAGAAATATTTTACATCACATGGATATTAATCTTTTTTCGACACGAATGTGCGTGTGTGTGCGCGCGTGTGTGTGTGTGTGTGTTGTCCTACTTATTATTATGGCAGGATAAAACTGTCCTTATCGTTATCACAATCATATAGTTTTCTGTTTTTTATTTCCTCTCCTCCGTACTATTATTACTATTATTATTATTATTATTATTATTATTATTATTATTATTATTATTATTTTTATTTTTATTACTATTATTATTATTATTATTATTATTATTATTATTATTATTATTATTATTATTAATATTATTATTATTATTATTCTTATTATTATATATTTGATGCATTTTATATAAAATGCATAACGATTCTTTTCTTCATTTTGAAAAGAGAAAAAAAAAGAAAAGAAATATATATATACCGGAATCAATTATTTTGCCTCTCTAATACTTGTATATTAAAAGTTTCCTTTTTTATAAATAAATCATAGCGAAAAACTCGGTAAAACATTAGCTCCTTGTTTAAACGAACAACATCCCTTTAACATAACACGCCATTTCGTTAAGAATTGTAACTATTTTACTTTTTTCTTATTCGTTGCACATATGCCATCAGTTATTTGATTTTATCACATACACACACGTCTACTTGTATGCGCGTAAATAAATAAATAAATAAATAAATACATACATACATATATACATACATACATACATACCTACATATATACATATAAGATAACAGTATTGGTACTATGCTATTACAATGCAATTACAATAATAATAGCGGATATTAAACAATAAATTCGTAAACTACAATTTTAGCCAGATCGTGTATTTCTTACCACTGTGTATTTTTCCACCAACATCAAGATATATATATATATATATATATATATATATATATCAAGATTATATATATATACAACAAATAATTAAAAATAATTAAGCGATTAAACTCACGACGATAAATGTAACTCTTACTTAAAACTTTTCAAAGAGCAAATTCTAAGTAATTAATCGATGAAAGATAATACATACATAAGTGATTAAGTAAACAAATATCTATTACTTCTGATTAATTCTTTATTCCTGTTTTTTCTTTTCTGCTCATTTTTTTTTCTTTGACAGATTAAATAAGTACTATACTATATTAAAAATCTGAACGACGACGTATTACTATCAGATCTATGTGAACTGTATGAGAAAATGTAAATGATCGTAAAGGTAGATATACGCATATATATATATATATATATATATATATATATATACACATATATATGTGTGTAAAGTTGTTTAGAAGGGCTCACGTATAGTCGCTAAGAGTTGGATTTCGTTCGGCTGAGAAATTGATTCTGCTACCCTTAAAGAAAAGAGATAGGGAAAGAGAGAAAGAGAGAGAGAGAGAGAGAGAGAGAGAGAGAGAACGAAATAGAGAAAGAGTAAGAGTAAGAGTAAGAGAGAAAGAGAAAAGAGGCGGGACTCCGCCTTTCGGTGAGAGAGCCAAAAGAACGATGCTAAGTTGAGGCGTCAGAAGGAAACTTGGCTTTCTAGTACGCGTGGGTGTCCATGTAGGAGGTTCTTCGAGAAACCCCTCCTTTCACGTGGCACCTCCGCCCGTAGCTCTTTCAGCTTTTCTCTTGGACGATTTGAGAGAGGGAAAGAGAGAGAAAGAGAAAGAGGGAGAGGAGAGAGAGAATGATGTTCCGATGATAAGATCACTAGCGGGGGTAGTTGCCGGCAGAGAGTCCTTTCTGAATCATCATCCGATTTCATCGTCCGAGATTTTCTCTCTCTCTCTCTCTCTTTCTCTTCTCTCTCTCTCTCTCTCTCTCCCCTTTCTCTCTCTCTCTCTCTCTTTCTCTCTTTCTGTAGAAATCCTTCCTTGTCAGCAAACGCTCTTCGAGGCGAGGACAAGTCCCGTTGACGATCGGTCGGTCGGCAAGTTTTGAGATCATTATTTCTGCCTTGGTACCCCTCTTCTTGTGATACGCCTAGCTGTCAACGGCTCCAATACGAAATTCGGTCAAATTCTGTGACTTAGAACGGAGAACGGAGAATACTAAGTCGACTTCTTCGTCTTCATCATCGTCATCGTCATCATCATCTTCTTCTTCTTCTTCTTCTTCTCCTTCTTCTTCTCCTTCTTCTTCTTCTTCTTCTTCTTCCTCTTCTTCTTCGTCGTCGTCGTTATCGTCGTCATCATCATCATCTGCTACATCGTCATTCTTTTCTTCCACTTCTTTCTAATTCTCTCCTGTGTCTTCGCAAATATAAACATTAAAGAGAAACAAAAAAACAAAACAAAAAAAACAAAAAACAAAAAGAAGAAAAGCAAAAAAAAAGTAAAAACATTTCTCGTCCATATCTGGAAGAATCATGTCGAATCGATTTGAAGTGTTGTTTTAAAGTGTCACGCATATCGCATATCGGTCGATTGAGAATATTACATAGATACATATTGATAAAGCAAAGGAAAAGTGTTTCGTAAAGATATATCATATTAAACTACAAAGATATCGTGATTTGTTCGATGTGTCCTTCGAGTATAAGTTAATTATGCAAGAGCAGCAAGAAGAACAACGTGATATTGGTGGTGCCGATTGCTGCTACCAACAACAATGGCCGACGCAACAGCAACATCATCAACAATTATCGATGGTACCATCGCCGATGCAACAAATGGAAGGTGAGATTGTTGGATCGTGCTTATCTAACTTATCCTTTATCTACTAATTACATCCGTTCGGTTCTATATTATTCTCTTTATTCTTATGTTCTTTATGTTTCACGTTATTATCGTTCACGTTTACAAGTGCGTGCGTACCTTTATCGTAAATAATTTCACATGTGAAACATTCGACAATGAAATTCTATAAACGTAACGTATCTATTTATGTATGTACGTACGTATGTATATTTCTTTCTCTTTATGTCTCTCTGTTTCTTTATCGTATCGATTAAAGGTATACGTTAAACAATTCGCCCCATTTATCTTAGCGTGTCTACAAAGCGCAGGAAGAGTAAAACGATCCCGAAGTCCGAATTTAAGTAAGTCGTCTTTGGCGTCGCACGCTTCGAATCCGCCGGCAGTAGCCGTGGTGGTAGCAACATCGTCGTCGTCTTCGTCGTCCACCTCTTCCGCGGACGGTCGAAATGACAGGAATAATAATAATCGACACCACGGGGATCATCATAATAATCATAATAATAATAATAATAATAATAATAATAATAATAATCATCATCATCATCATCACCATCATCATCACAATCATCATCGACGTAGAAGCGACGAGGGTACGGAAGAAATTGGTTCATCGAAGAGACCACTTCATCCGGCACTCGCTGGAGCTGGGGCAGCGCTCGAAGCTAAACCGCTTTGGGAAGAATTTCATCAATTGGGAACGGAAATGATCGTTACCAAAGCTGGAAGAAGAATGTTTCCTACTTTTCAGGTGAGAACTTACAAACCCAATCAAAATTTTCCTCAACCATTTCAATCATCCGTCTCAAGTCCCATCCTTTATTTCTTCGAAGAGGAAAGAACAAAAGAAAAAAATAGAAAAAAAAAAAACAGAAAGAGAACGGGAAGGAAATGACAGAAGAAAGTGACCACATTTTCAGTGTCGACTCTTTGGTTTGGATCCAAATACGGAGTATCTTTTGGTGATGGATTTTGTTCCGTGCGACGACAAGAGATATAGATACGCATTTCACAGCAGCGCCTGGGTAGTCGCTGGTAGGGCCGATCCAGTATCACCACCAAGGATTCATATGCATCCTGATAGTCCTGCCAGCGGAGCCCATTGGATGAAACAACCGGTCTCTTTTGACAAACTCAAGCTCACTAATAATCAACTCGATGACAACGGCCATGTAAGTCCGTCAAACTTATCATCCTTCAGAGATTCAAAATTGTCTACTTGAATCTTCTTCAAATCTATCCCTTCCTCCATTTTCGTTTCTTTTCCAGTCCTCGTTAAAACTCTCTCTCTCTTTCTCTCTCTCTCTTTCTCTCTCTCTCTCTCTCTCTCTTATTCTCTCTTCTTTCTCTCTTGAGGAGATGCTTCTTTTAAAGTACCCTAGTAATAAAGTAGAGTGAAAAATGCATCGTGTTTTCGATGACGATGCCGACGGCGACAACGTTCCTTCTCTTTTCTTCCACGTGTTTGTCGTTTCGGACGAGTTCGCTTTAATTGACCTGAGATACGAGACCGTGCCGTTTAACCAGAAATTATAAGTCACCCAAGAATCACCAACCATCACTCTTTTCGCGAGAAAGAAATATTACTTTGGCAATTCTCGTTCATTTTTCTATTTATTTTTATGTTTTTCTTTTTCTTTTTTCCTCAAAGTTTAACATTCCTCAACAAAGCTGCTTCTTCTTTATGTATAGAATCAAATTACGATCTATTATCATCGATCAACGATCCATAAAATAATCTTCTTCGCATTTCTATTATACTATTTTATTGATTTATTTTTCCTGTTTTTTTTTTACGCCTTTATACGTCAAAACATATAAAATAATTAATAGAAAAAGAAAAGATAGAAAAATTAACAAATAAAATGTGTATATACGTACATATATGTATTTTCTGGATCATTTCGACTATTATGAATACTATAAATATCATCAAAATCTAAAGTAAATTGTGACAATTCAAAGAACCTTAAAATCATTCTAAATTAGTTCTACAATATTTCAGAAATATAATTATATTAAGAAATTTTTATATAAAAAAAAAATTTAGAAATTTCCATGAAAAATTGTTACAAAATTTGTCTAAAAATAGCTGTAAATATAAATCATTAGACATAAATATAATCATATCAGATAGAATATTCATTTCTCTTAAAGCATCTAAATATTATATATTTAAACAGCATACTCGCGAGATTTACCAAACGCAAAATAAGCTGTGATCGTCTTAGATCTTTAAGTTTTAAATCGATCTCTTTCTCCTGTCGCCACGATGGCATGGAATATCGTACGTTTAGAATATAATGTAAACACGGATAAAATAAACGAAAAGACGAAAGTATGGGAAAATAGGTCGAATATACGAAAGAATTAACAGCAGTCAGTAAGTTTGAAAAATGTTTTATATTAGAAATGAGTTATAAAATTTTATATACATATCGTGCATATATATATATATATATATACACCATGACTGAAGGAAAATGGATATATAAAAAAAGGATTTATACATAAATTATCAGTTTTTAACGGTTCTGTTCTAATTCAAATTCATCATAAATCTTAGCTACAAACAATACACTAGTATTAAGGTAAACTTAGAGACGTTTTGCTTGAGAGAAAAGAGAGAAAAAAAGAGAGAAAAAAGAGAGAGAGAGAGAGAGAGAGAGAAAAGAAATTGATTATAACCATAAATCTTACTTCTTTCAACAACTCCTTACATATAATCATCGATTTACATTAAAAATCGCTAATTTACGAACTCAGAGTCGACGATAGATGAAAGAAAGAAAGAAAGAAAGAAAAAAAAGAAGGTACGAAAGAAAGAAAGAAAGAAAGAAAGAAGGAAAGAAAGAAAAAAAAATAAATAAAGCAAAAAAAGGGGTCGATGCTCGGAACAGTTTAGAAGTTGATTCTTTTTCTCACAATCGAACGCAACGTAACAACATGCGTATTTAGAATTGAGTGGCCAAAAATAATCGGGATCTATCTGTCGTGCCAAATCAATCGATCGAGTCACTTTTAAACGGGACGTATCGATTCATTTGAAAGGTAGACGACCGATAGAATCGGTATTGCAAATGTAACCAAAAAGTATATAGACTATCTATTTACATTGTGTATGTGCGCGTGTGGTTCGTTAAAATCAATCGATTGATTAGAAGAAAATAATAAAAAATAAAAAAAGAAATAAGAATTGATAGAGAAACAGAAAAAGAGAGAAAAAGAGAGAAAGAGAAAGAGAGAGAGAGATGTATTCGTTGATTTTTCCGCGACTCGTATTACTTTGGTTTTTGCTTTTACTAATAGAATTGCTTCGAAATACGGACGATCGACATTTGATAAGATACATCTTGGAAACGAACGACACGCCTTTCTACTGGGAACGTCCCTCTATTTTTCGACGGTCACGGAATCCTTGAAAGAGAGCAGAGTCTCGCGCCCTCTGCTCGCGTTCCTTTCGAAAATTTATTGCTCGCCGTGTAAGAAGACCTTTGACACCAAAAAGGGGAACATAGAGAGAGAGAGAAAGAAAGAGAGATACAGAGAGAGAGAGAGAGAGAGAGAGAGAGAGAGAGAGAGAGAGAGAGAAAGAGAAAGAAAGAAAGAAAGAAAGAAAGAAGAGTCAGAGTAGAAACAAACAGGCCAGTTTGTTCTTTTAATTGCTTACGGAAAAATGTGTTACAGGTCCATAGAAAAAAATCTTAAAGGAGGTGGTACTAAAGAATGTTTGAGAATACGAGTCTCTTAATTGACGTATCCTATCGAAGAGGGAATCGCTTTCCGGATCGCATGCCGTTCTCGTGCTCGAGTTTTCTTTTTCTTCTTTCTTTACTTTTCTCTCTTTTTCTATTTTTAATTTTAATTTTATTTTTATTTTCATTTTTATTTTTATTTTTATTTTTATTTTTATTTTTGCGTGGCATAGATTTACTCAAAGAGGAAGAAGAATAAGGTTTGACGGGAGTATGGGAGAGATGTTCGTCGAAAAAAAAAAAAGAAAAAAGAAAAGAAAAAAGGAAAAGAGAAGGAAAAAAGGGCGTATGGACGTAAAGTCTGGGTAAAAGAGAAAGAAAAGTAAAAGACAAGACAAGAGAAAAGGAGAGAAGACAAGAGAAGAGGAGAGAGAGAGAGATAGAGTGAGAAAAGAGAAGAGAAGGGAAGAGAGGAGGAAGAGAAGAGAAGAGATTCGATTGCTTGTTTCGGGCCACACGCATTTTCCACCGGGCGCAAGGCAAAGCCTCTTCTTGGCTTTCTCTTCTTCTTTTTCTTACTTAGCGAGCGGCGCGACACACGTGCTCTCTCTCTCTCTCTCTCTCTCTCTCTCTCTTTCTATCTATCTATCTGCCTCTCTTCTTTCTCTCTTGATCGTCTTCTCTTCGTCAAGGCATATGCACATTAGCGTACGCATAGGAAAGAACGAAGAAGGGTGTCGTATTGCCGTTGGGTCGGGGGTTAGTTTTTACACTAATTAGTCACCGGTTCTCTTCTGCCTGTCAAACATTGTGACCGCCCCCCTGTGGTGCTTCTTCCTTCTCTTCTTCCTTCCCTCACGTGTGTTGCGTTCACTTTTCTTTCCTTATTTCCCTCTCTCTTATCCCCGCCCCTTTTCCATTCTCTCTCTCTCTCTCTCTCTCTCTCTCTCTCTCTCTCTCTTTCTCTCTTTCTTCCTTTTAAGCGAGATCAACGTTCGTCGAAAACGATTTAACATAAAACCATTTCTTTTCTTTTTTTTTCTCTTGGACTCTACTCTTTCAGATCATCTTAAATTCGATGCACCGATATCAACCAAGATGTCACGTTGTAGTCGCACCCTCACCACCAGGTTCAGCGCCAGATCCAAGGACGGAAAACTTCAAGACATTTTCCTTCCCAGAGACGAGATTCACCGCGGTGACGGCCTATCAAAATCATCGTATCACCCAATTGAAAATCGCTAGTAATCCATTCGCTAAAGGATTCCGAGATTGCGAATCCGACGATTGCGAAAGCGTAGCGGTATCTTCGGCAATACAAAATCCTGCAAAAAGATCGGCACCGAGTGGCACGAGTAATGTAAACGCAAATGCCAATGTCCTTACAACGAGCGGATATCCGAATGCTATAATATCTCAGGGAATGCAAATACCCGGTTTGTCGAGTCAAGAACATCATCATCAATTTTACGCGACCGCTACTCCAGGACCTTGGTCCACTTATCCCCCTCCTCCCCCACCCCCGCCGCCACCTCATCCCCATCATCACGGACAATCCAACCCTCACGTCAATTCCCTTCATTATCCTCATCCTCATCCTCATTCTCATCCTCATCCTCATCATACCCATCCTGGTACTTCTCTTTATGGACCACGATAATCCTCTATAATCGTATCTATATATCTATTTATCTATCTATCTATCTATCTACCTATCTATCTATCTATCTATCTATCTATCTATCTATCTATGTATATACATAAACGTGATCGAGTCGATGATACGTGTTTAAACCAAAGCGATTAAAACAACGTTACACATTTAATGTTAAGATTGTCAGATTATATCGTGGATATAAACATAATATGTATTTTGTAGAGATTTTATCTTATTTATATTAAACGTTAAATATATTTTCCAATGACGTATTGGTTACGAAAGATTTGATATTGTCTCAAATATATATATATATATATATATATGTATATGCATATATATGTATCTTGGGATTTGTATTAAAATGTTAGCCATTTCGATCGTAGGTTCGACGTAACGTCGTCCAAGAAGGAAAGTGCCTTTTGTAGGAGCAAAGTGCGTCTATTTATACGAGGTATCTCAAATGCCGAACGAGCCTAAAACGCTCTCTTGAGCCAAGACGGGAATGTAAACGCTCCGTGACAACCCATGAGAGTGCGGGACCGTTAAGTGCCTTAATAAATTATGCCATGAGTATCGTGCCATTGTACTTTTAGGTTTAGAGAGAAGTTACGTTCTCATCTAATAAAAAAGAATTTCGATGCGTTATCGTTCGATATTTACTCCAAAAAAGATAAGCGACTTTCCTTTACATAGGTATGTACTAGTCTACTTTTTGTCCAAAAAAAAAAAGCGAAAATACAATGAGTTTCGATATAACTCAGACTGGTTCACTTTCTTTATATACCCATCAAATTTCTCCCTTACGAAGTTTGAGACATCCTGTTCTTGTTTTTTTTTTTGTTAAACACACATCGTTCACCGATTATGTTCAGAATTAAATTAAAATTATCGTTATTGAATTATTGAAAAGATCCGAATAAAAATCATTAATATATAAAAACTAAGAAGATACTATTAATGACGAAAAAATCATATTATCTTCTGTAATAATTATATAAATAATTGTATATTTTAATAATTACATAAGTTGCATTTACATACGTACATACATACGTGTATACTAGTATGCGCAACACATGAGTATATTCGCGATCGATTAACAATGTGTTAAAATGTTGAAAGAACCATTTTCACAAATTATTTCTCGTATTATTATTATTATTATTATTATTATTATTATTTATATATACAAATAAATGAGAAAATGAAAATAAGAAAGCTTGTTAGACCCTGTGAATACTTATATCACTTCTCTTCTCGAATTTGAGTAGCTTCTGGCAATGGACCCTGATGCACGCGGCACCTACGGAGAGACGGACGCCTCTTGATTGATGACCGAGCATGAAACGACGCTGTGTAAACATATTAGCGTATCCTTAATGACCACGGATACATTTTCTCATTGGCGAGGAACGTTTCGCGGTTACGACTGAGTTTTACTAAATATTTTGAAAAATACATTTTATTATGTCCTTGATTCAAGCACTGAGAATTCATCAATGAGGGTCACTGTCGACCAATTTAATGGGACATCATTCGTTAACGTCGAATTATTTTTTATTCTACAAAATAATTATTAATATCATTCGAACGTGCATCGAAATTGTCGTTAATCCTTTTGATGAACGATTTATTCTTTTGTATGAAAAATTTTTAGAAGGAGGAAAAGAAAAGAGAAAGAAAAAGAAAATCTATTCCAGTTATCAAGCAACCATAAGAATGAAAATTAATAAATGTCTTTTATTATTTAGTAAATACGAGATCTAATAGAAAAACATTATAGCTGCACGTATTTTAATTTACATTAACCCTATATAAATACGTCATGTAACTCTGTAACAATTGATATTGTTACTTTATATACGAAATCTTTTATGATCTTTTTTTTTTTTCTTTTTACAAGTTATACTTAGTACAATAATAATTCTACGACTTATAAATTATATAATTTTTGTTTAAGGATACACGAGAGAAAAAAAAAAACAAAAAAAAGAAGTACAGAATTATAGAGGATTAAATTAATAAATATTTGATATAATCTTGTAACGCACGGATGTGCAATCAATTGAATTCACAAGATGGATAAAGATATACTTAAATACAAACTATAAGAGATGTCAAAACCGGTGGTCCTTTTTACCCTTTCCATTTTCGACTTAAAAGTACGAATCGCGCGCGACGGCCCGTGACGGCGCCGGCCGTAAAAGAGTTTTTCGCGAGTTAAGGGTTGCGTATGCACGGTCGACGCCCTTATCTCGCTCTTATATTCTTTCATCTTTTCACTTACACTATAGGGTCTCGTAGAAAACGAACGTAAAAGAATTGGCCCGTCGAAAGGTCAAGCGACATCGTTTCTTCTTCCTCTTTACTGCTACCACCACCATCACCATAATCACCATCACCGTTCTCGGTTTATTTCACATAAAAAAAAAAAGACACTCTCAAAGACACTACTTCGTAGAGCGAATGAAAAGAAAAGATCGTTTCAAGATAAACGGAACACCGACGATGCCGTCGGTTGTGTCCTTTCGACAAAGTCGTCCTGGAATTGGACAAATTTACGAGACATTTCTCTTTCATCTTAGTTTTAACCGCTAATATAACAATAACAATGTATTCGTATACAGATTACATATACGTGTATGTGTTTAAGAAAAGATAATTGCTTAAGATAAGCAGTAAGTGGAATTGATTTTAAAACATACAAAATATTACGTAATACGAAAATAATCTTCGCTAAATTTTCATTTGATAATTCGTATATTTATTATATATACCGTCCAATTAATCTACGCATTTGTGATTTTCTAATTTATTAAATATAAAACTCTAATTTTTTATGACCTTTTCTAAAATTTCCAAATATATATATATATATATGTATATATATATACTATTGATTAGAGTACTATTTGATTAGAATATAATGCGCATATATGATTTGTGCTAATTTATAAAAAACTAAACCTGAAAATTCCTCTTAATCTTCATTAAATCATCATTCGACAATTTTTATATTTTTCCATATTAGTTCTATCTAATTAGAATATCTACACAATCACAAAATAAAAATGTACATATTAGATACATATGTCATTCATTAATTCCTAGAATACGAAATACAAAAATGATATTCTTTGAATATAATACTAAAAAAAAAAAAAAAAAAATAAAAAAAAAAGATAAAAAGAAAAAAAAGAATAATGAAGCAGAATGTTATCGTATGAATGAAAATTTTCAATTTTTATCATGAGAACAGGTGACGAGAAAAGTGGAAAAAAAATATATATATATAAAAAAAAAAAAAATAAAAATAAAAAATATATGAGATGTGTGTGTGTGTGTATATATTCCAAGGAAGAGGGTAATAAATCTCCCTAATTTTCCGAGTGTGCCTCGTTGGTCGCGGATCAAAGACCGACAAATGAATCGCTCGGTTGAATTTGCCGGAAAAAAGGAGGAAAAGAGAGAGGAGAGGAGGAAACGTCTTGCATCCCACGGGCCATGAATCCGTCATCGCCATGGATTTCGCCAGGAGGTAACCGTACGAGCACGCTTGCGAGTCGCGATCCGTATCGCTGTCTCGAAAGAGAGGCTTTTATAGTTTTCGAGCCAATTCCAAAATTTGTTTCTAACTTTTCGTTCTATTCTAATGAAGACAAAAATTAGTTACTTCTCTCTCTCTCTCTCTCTCTCTCTCTCTCTCTCTCTCTCTCTCTCTCCCTTTTTCATTCGCAGAAGCTTATAATCCACATTCATCTCTAATTATTACCATTTCCTGATTTACGAAATCTAAATTATTCCAGAAAATTTGTTTCTAACCTTTTATTATGCTCGAACGAAGATTTTCTTTCTCTCTCTCTCTCTCTCTTTCTCTTTTTGTTTCGCAGAAGTCTAGAATTATCTTAAAAAAAAGTTGCACTCATTAAAGTTTTCTTAAAAGAAAATCGCTCTTCCCGGGGAAGATCTTTCTCGAGAAATATTTTTTTTATAATATTCTCAAAAATGCAAGTAAATACCTTCTTTCTCTCTCTTCCTCCCTCTCTCATGTACCGTCAAATACGTATCTTCACGCAAAAAGGATTCAATAAATGAAAAGGGCAGAGAAGAGGAGAGAAAGAAAAAAGAAACAAAATAAAAATACAAAACAAACCAAGAAAAAAAAAAAAAAGGAAGAGAGAGAGAGAGAGAGAAAGAGAGAGAGAGAGAGAGAAGAAAACAGAACGTGATGGTAGACGAAAGGAAAAGTAGCAAAGCCGAAAGAAAAAAAAAGAAAATAAAAAAGGTGGTAAAGAAGGAGGAGGTGGAGGTGGAGGAGAAGAGCAAGGAAGTAAAAGAGAGATGGTGGTGGATAGTATTAGTGAACGGAGAGGAAGGTTGCGGACGTAAAGTGTAAACATTCGAGGTGCGATTTGACGTGCACTCCGGCCATTCGAGACGAGGCGACGCGTCTTGCTCTCGTTGGATATACGCTTTAAGAATCCCGAAGAAGAGGACAAGGCGATGGCTGGAATCTGTAAATCTGTCATTGCGGCCATATTCTTGTACGGCTGGTACCGCAGGATATGAACTTGCGCGTTCGCGTCTCGTACGCGACCGACCTATGATTCGTGTTCCTCGACTTCCTCTTTCTCTCGAAAAAGCATCTTTCTAATTCTTCGTTGTAACTTTAACATTGTCGTTCAACAACAAATAGTTACTATCAGTTTTCAATATATAGATATTATTATCTTATCGATGATACGATGTTTGACAAAATGTAATAGTAATAATTATTATAATCGAATAACTTCTTTTTCTTTCTTTCTTTCTTTCTTTCTTTTTTTCTTTTTTCTTTTTTCTTTTTTTTTTTTAAGATTGTATAAAATATCACAAATATTTATAGATTATAATGATACTTTTATCAATATATAATGTTATGTGTATTGTCAATATATGTTACAATGTTAAGAAAGAATTACAGAGAGACTGATAAAAATGTCTGAAATGTTCTAAAACAATATATATATATATATATATATATATATATATATATATATATAAAGAATTTAACAACAAAAAAAGGAACAAACAAAAAGCAAAAAAAAGATTAGAAATAATCGTATTAATAATAATAAATACGATCAGAATGAATTTTCGTATTTGCTTTTAAAGTAAAGAATATTAATTCGTAGTAATAAATACGATCAGAATGAATCTTCGTATTTGCTTTTAAAGTAAAGAATTTAATCAATAATTTGTGTGTGTGTGTGTCTATTCTCTCGTTGATATAATAATGCACGCAGAGATATATAACATTTAAGATTAACGAAAGTACGTATAAAATTTGCGACGATCCTTCCCGGACGGCTTTCTCTTCTCTAATGGTGATATGTCAAATGTATCCTACCATTTTGTTAGGTCGCTCAATGTCGAAGCGAGTCTTTCATTTTATAAATATTATCAAATATATATATATATATATATATACATATATATATAGCTAGGTTCTGTGAAGGAGGAAGAAGCACGCGGACATATCCGTCAACGTAATGAAAACCGTTTAAGCGATCTCTCCGAGCGAAGACAGACGTTGACCGTGAATCTCTCTTTCCAAGATTGAAAAAGTTTATTTTACGATGTAAATAGAGGGGACGATCTTTGCGAGACTTTCAGAGAAAGAGCGAGTGAAATAGAGTGTGTGAGAGAGAGAGAGAGAGAGAGAGAGAGAGAGAGAGAGAGAAAGAGTGAGAGAGAGAAAGAGAGAAAGTGAAAGGGAGAAAGAGAGGTAAGATGGCCACGTGCTAAGAACCGATTGGTATAATTTTGATATCAAATTTTCAAGGCGATCTTATTTCTTATTTATCTTTGTTTACATCTTATACGCATACATATCGCCAAAGTATAAAGATAAAGACGTAGACGTGGTTATGTGTATTTATGCGTAAGTGCGCGCGATTTTTTAAAACTAAAATTAAATATGAAAATTTTAACAAATCGAACGAGTTATTCTATAATTTTCTTTTTTCTTTCCTTTCTTTTCACAACTTTCTCCATCGGTATAATAAGAAATAATTTCTTATTATTTCAATAATTTTCTTTTTTATCACACCTAATTCTAATACGATTAATATTAATATACATGTATATATATATATATATATATATAATTCAATGTATTTGAAAAATCATTCGATAATGAAATGTAATTTTGTGTTGAGGCTCGATGAAATTGAATTAAAATTGGGTTATTCAGTTAATGATTTAACGAAATAATATTGTTAGTGATATAAAAGTAGAGGTTAAAAAGTGGGTGTGAGATAATCGTAAGGTAGATTTCGGAAGGCGACGTGTATTCGCCGCGCATATCCTATCTCGCCGCTGGAATCCTCATATGTCTGTCATCGTACTTCTCCAACACCTCGCACGAATCCTCCGTTTCTTCTTCTTCTTCTTCTTCTTCTTTCTCCTTCTCTTCTTCTACGTTCGCCCTCGCTCTCTTCTTACGATCTTTTGCTTTTCTTCTCCACCTTTCTCTCTCTTTCTCTCTCTCATACACATGCACACGTACCTCTCTCTCTCTTTCTCTCTCTCTCTCTCTCTCTCTCTCTCTCTCTCTCGTTCTTTCTTTCTTTCTCTTTCTCCCAAATCTGAACCGATCTCGAGGCCACAGACGCAGCAATACGAGAAGACTATTCTATCTCATTTTATCTCATACTATCTCATCTTACTGTGTACCGTGTACTGCACTGTTATTCTCTCACTGTACGAAAATATCATCTCGACTATTGCCCGTAACTCGATCGTGTCTTTACCTTCCCACATAGTTCTGCTATTGTCATCAATAAAATATGCAGCCACGTTTACGTACGTATGTATATGTGAAAATGTATAATCGATCGACCTATATATATGTATATTTTTTTTTTTATTATTATTATTATTTTTTTATTATCTCGATAAATTTTGATCGTCTTTCTTTCATTGGAAAACTTACCGCGTTTTCGACTTTGATCCTTTTAACGGATATTAAATGTATTGTCAATCTTTAATTATTATTTCTTTTTTTCTTTTTGTAAATGTTCGATTATTCAAAAGAAGAGATATAGTATTATGGAAATTGGAAAAATTGTTGACTTACCTTTTTTTTTTGTTGCAATCATAGCTTTGCGTATTTCGTCCAGATTGATTACATTTGGAATGATGATGATGATTTCGATTTCATTCGCAGAATTGAACATTTGAATTGTAAATGTCAAATCATTTCGTGAATATATAACGTACAATAATAATTAATGATCGAACGATTGAATATTTTTAATAAAATCGATGACTTCGAAAAGATATGTATTATTTTTGAAATTTTTTAATACGTAACAGCTTCAGATTACTAGATAAATACTGTCGGTAAAAAAGGAAACAGTTATTAATTGCCACGTCAGATGACGCTACGTTGAAGCGATATTAGCGCCAATAACGGGGAAATTTGGAAAAAATTAATGCTATCAGCGCTCAACAGTGGTGAAATCATTAAACGAATTGCGTACCACTACATTCGATGCAAATAACTTTGACGTATATTTCGTTTATGTTGCAAGTTTTCTCGAAGAAAAAAAAAATATTTGTGTTAAACGTTTATGTGTTATGGTTATTGTATATAAAATAAATTATGGAAACTCCTGGATCTCGGGCACTCGAAGCTGCTAAAAATCTGAATGACTTGGCGATTTTTAAAAAACCAATTGGTGTTGCAAAGAAAAGTAAACACATTCATTCGAAAATTTTAGACGAAGATACATATATTGAAAAGATGGGAGAAATTATACAAAGAGATTTTTTTCCACATCTTGAAAAGCTTCAAGCTCAGAATCAATACTTGGATGCGTTAGAACAAAATGATGTGAAAAGAATGAGAGAACTTTATGAGAAATATAGTTCTGGTCGACCTGCTACGGAGAGACCTGCCAGTCCAGCTACATTTGAAACACCAATACGTAAGGATGAGTCAGAAGATGAACAGTTTAGATCTATAAAAGTGACCAGAGATATACCTTGTAAAACTGAGTCAAAAGAGAAAGATATAGAAGATAGAGTAGGTTTAGATACATTTTTAAGTATTAATACTAGCGAGGATAATGCAAGTTTTGAAGAAATGATGGTTGAAGCTGAGAGAAGACGTAAATTAAAATATGCATGGCTTTATGAAGCCGAAGAAAAATCAAATTTACTTACTGTAGAAAAATCTAACAACAGTTCTTTAGCCATTGAAAATGAAAATAAGAGACAACCGGTATTGGACACTTGGAATTACAAGAATAAAAATTATATTATGTATATTCCTGATGGTGTAGAATTAACACCGGATGAAAAGGTAGATTTAGCGAGAAGAAAACAAATGGTAATGCATGAGAATACACGACTGAGAATGAATCCATTCAATGAACAACAAAATAAAGAAACTATTAATGAATTGGCAAAACATCAGTCAAAAGTTAATGACGGTAAAATCGGGGTAGATGGAAAGGAAGTTGTAAAAAATGCAGCACCAACGGTGAATGGATATAGTTTTGTAGCTACACCTAGTCCTCGACCAGGAGAATGTGAAAGTCCATTGATGACATGGGGTGAAATTGAAGGAACTCCTTTTAGGTTAGATGGTGGTGATACCCCATTATTGAGAACTAGTCAAGGTCCTTCGTTCAGAATGGCAGAACCACCAAAAAGAGAACAGATCGCTTTACAATTAGCTGAGAAAGCTGGTGAACGACATAGAGATAGGAAAAATAAAGCACTCGAAGCAGCAAGAAAATCATTGGCGACGTAAGTATGAAAATGAACTGTGATGTTTTTATTTTAATTAGCCTTGAATCTTACGTTTTTATTATTTTACTTGATTTCCTTATTATAGGCCTTCGCCAAGATCGACCATTGACCGGTTAAGTACAATGTCACCTGCTGCAAGAAGACTGGCAACTCAAAAGCTTCGTATTGCGCATACTCCTTCACCCCGAAGAGTTTCTTCATCGAGAACACCCTCTATAGGTATTAGGACACCGACTACACCTAGGGCAAACACACCATTAAAACGTGACACAGATTCAACATCGGAAAGAAGTAATGGTAGTAGTCGAAGATCGGACGGTCCTGTTCTAACAGACAATTTACTCAATTTACCACCTCAAAGACAAAGGGCTTCTGATTTCTTTAATAAGTGAATAAATAAAGACAAATATGTGGATTTAATACCGATGTTATAAACGATATTTTGCATACTGCAAATAAATAATATTACCATATTGGTGAATATAGAAAATGTACGAACCTTGTAAATATGAACTTTAATAATAAGAATAAAATTATTGTATAATAACGATTATTATAAATTAATACTATGTATGATAAACAACGAAATATAATGCTTTTAATTTTTCAATGAATGTCTCGATTTCTTTTTCAAATTTGCAATATTTCAACTAAGGCTTTGATAACAATTTTTTAAAAGATATTTCCTCCTTTATGTTCTCGCAATAAAATTTTTCTTACGATTTAATTTATTCGAATATGTCACGCATTGTATTCTATGTTCGGTCACGTCTCGTATTTTTTTTTTACAACAAGGAAATAAAATGCACCGATACTTCAATGATCCTTTTAATAACCAAGAAATATGCCGGAAGAAATTAAGAACGATAAACAAAATAATGTCTACGAAAACCGGAAATGTATATAGTTATGAATAAAGACGAGGCAAAGACGCGGAATAAAATGACAACAACGAAATGAAACGAACGACATAATAAAAAATTATTGCAACATCCTTTCTTTCAATCGGATGGAATTCTTATATAAATGAGAGAAAAGAAGAGTAATAATCAAGTACAGAGTAAAAAGTAACTACGTGATAATGTCGTTGACTTGGGTAAAGGGTTTAACGTTATTGCTCTTGGTTTCTTCTATCTTGGCTCAAGATGGATGCACTTGTGGCGGTCTTGGATCAGGTATTCGAATATTGAACTTTTATCATATATTGAATTTTAATCAAATGTACTTGTTTGCGTTAATGCATTGAAACATATTAAATTATCAGGTAAAAATCCATGTAGCTGTAATGACATCGTCGTTCAAGCTGCCGAAGTTACGAAACCTATACAGTATCATGTATCACCAGAAGCTATAAACGAAGCTGTAACAATTCGTGAAGGTGGAAAATCGGGATGTTCTGAAACGCAAACTAATACATTGATTATACCGGATTTCACAACTGTGACTACACAATCGGACACTACTGTTACTAATGTAATTGATAATATCTTAAATCCAAGTAGTAGTATTTCTAATCCATCGATCAATCTAGACATCCCGAATAAACATTCTCCCTCCGAGTTGACCAGTGTCACTATTCAGACAGAACCTACTTCTTCGGATAAAAATGTTCAAATAGTACCCAGGTAGGTAAAGTGATATAAATTAAACATATTCAATGAGATTTTTCTTATATTAAGATGATGAATAATTCGAATGATCTTTCAACAGTTTCTCGCCTGTTAGCAATCTTTGCAACCCATCGAGCAAACTAACGGCATTAACGTTGGGAACACGCGTTAAAGTAACTCCTGCGTATCCTGTTAAAACAAAATGTTGTCGAGGTAGTCCTTATCAAGAATGCATTAAATACATATCGGGTATTCGCGGCAATCCTTCTAGCGTGACACATCATATTGGAACTCCTATCGGATTGCCTCAATCAGAATCCGGAATTGGAAGTTACGATACCTCTAGCATCACCAACGATACTCCTGCTCCTTTTGGAACTCCTAGCGGATTATCTCCATTGGGATTCGGAAATGGAAACTATGGTACCTTTAGGAATATCTATGATATTTCTAATCCTTTTGGAACTCCTAATGGATTGTCTCAATCGGTATTCGGAAGTGGAAGTTACAGTACCTCTAACATCATTAATGATATTCCTACTCCTTTTGGAACTACTATCGGATTGCCTCAATCTGAATTTGGAAACGGAGGTTACACTAGCTCTTATAAAATCTACAACACTCCTTTTGGAACTGTTCAAGGTGGTAAGTAACTTTTACGATAAATATTATTTTAATGAGAACAAAGTTGATTTATCTATCAGATTTAATAGGAATTCCATCGCAACGTCGACCACAAGACCAATTACCAGCAGATCCCATATCATTGACTCTTGCTTATAAAAATCTGGTTGCACCACAAATATATTATAATAAAGGAAAGAAATTAATATCAGAGGGAAGTATATCGTTTGGACATAGAACATTGCCGATCGAAGCGAAGAAAGAAAAGAAATTGATTGATATACCCGAAGAAAAACTTGTTATCGTTGATAAGCCTATTGTCGAATTGAAACACTCTCCTGCGAGTTCTATAATGATCGGCGAGAACGACGACGAGGAAGATAATCTTGCCGAGCTTGAAGCTATGGAACGTGAAAACTTGGAACAGAGAGAACAAGTCAATCGCGTGAGAACGAATTTTTTAAGTTACGGGTAAGGAAAGAGTAATACGAGATAAATAGAATCGAAGATATATCTAATTTTTGTAATTATCATTAAAATTTTATTATGTCATTTCAATTATTTCAGAGACGTAGGTTACCGACCAATCGATTTAAACGTTGTCGAATCAGGCCTCGCCACAAACACACCTTCGTTAAATTCTCAAGGAATAGACCAAAGGAATGTACCAAATGGAGAAGAAAATGGCGTAGGTGGAAAATTAATTGGAACAAATGTAGGATATAAATCAACAGGATCTTGCGGACCCATTGGACCTCCTTTACCAGGTTATATACCAGGATCTATAATAATTAAAAACGATGTCGAAACAGAGACACCAAGAGACATTGAAGAGATTGACACGAATACTTATAATTACAACGTCGATAACATTGAAATCAACGAGGACAACCAATTTGGCCCAGAATCGGGAATCATTGCTAGATTACGCAATGCAGCACGAAAACATTCGGTATCGTCCTTGTGCTTTAAATGATGACCTACCTTAGCCCGCTTAAATTTATAGAAAAATTCTAATTGTCTGTTAAATATCAAACGTATCGTTTGAAATCTTTATTGTGCCATTTCGCTTCGAGTATAAGATATTTACTTCAAACATGTGATACATTTAGTAAATGTATATATATATATATATATATATATTAAAATAAAACATTATTTATGATATCTATAAAAATTAATTTAATAATTACACACCGATACCTATTCTCCTCTCTTAAAAACCATTGGAAATAATATATCTTCGAATAATTATATTCAGATTATACGATAACTAAATGTTTTACGTATTAAAATAATTTTCAAAGTATCCAGATATATATTAGTAGGCGCATATATATATATATATATATATATATATATATATATATATATATATGTATATATATATATAAAAGATGAATTTTAGTTGATTTTCAAAGGACTGTTTAAGAGTCAAGCCGATTTGTAACGCGAACAAACTCATCCACGAAGATCCTCCTCTTATGTTTGCGTACATCGAAATTTATGGTCTGCCTTCGACTTCCTTAACCTAAAGCACGGCTGTCAACGCATCATAAAACGCTACGGCCGAGAAAAGGGAATCCGCGTGCTGGTTCGAGACCACATGGCAGAACACGATGATTGTCTCGAAGGAAGCATAATGTATCCATGAAAGAGAGAGAGAGAGAGAGAGAGAAAGAGATAGAGAGAGAGAAAGGCGGCCGTCTTTCTATTTAAAGAATCTCCAAAGCTAGGCCCAGGGCATGACCTTACTGTGAGAATATTTTGTCTTTTTCCTTCTTTTCTCTCTCTCTCTCTTTCTCTCCTTCAAACCACGTAGATGAACTTTACGATACGCCGTTCTTTTGGTGTTAGTAACATGATTTGTTTCATTTACATATGCTACTGTAAATTGTCGTATCGTCGTGAATAAATCACTTCGCGTGAAATAATATCTTGAGGTTTAATTAATGGATGTTTGAAGGTACTGAATGAAATATATATTCATTAATTATGTATTCACTCTGAAACGTAACAATGAAAAATCATCGACTTTCGTATGGCTGGTACTCATTGATTTGGTATTTCAAAAAATTATTTATCAGTATTTTAAATAAATAATCAATATTTATAATAAATAATCAGTAGGTAATATAATTGATCAGTATTACGTCGATCGATATAAAGATCGTCAGTATTTTAATATATTTGCAAATATGATAATTCGTCAGGATTTTAAATGACATAACTAGTATTTATAATAAACTAAGACGCTGTTCTGACATTTAATTATTTATATTAACCAGTTATATTACGAAACTATAGTCTATTATAAATATCGATCTAAATATTCACATATACTGATAATTTATTTTAAAAAAAGAATCAAATTACAAATCACTATAATTGGTAAAAGATATGTGCCATAACAAAATCGCAGACAATATTTACTTTCTATTTCTAGCAATGTAAGTTACTAAATATTTTTTCACAAAAATACACTCATATATCACACGTCGAAAATCAAGAGATTTTTATCTGTTTACGAAATATCAAATTAAGTTAAAAGTCACGAATACAATTCTTTTGATTATTGTATTACTTCTTCTTTAATATACAAACAAAAAATTATCACATTTACGAAGATATAAACAAAAATATATACAGTAAACATGATAAATAAAAGTGTTACAAAAGTTCATTGATTATCCTATCCCTTGAATTTTCATAATAAACAAGGATACTTGCTGTAAATATACGATGTTATATTAATTTTGATCTCTCATTATGACGGAAGAACGTGAATAAGAACGATGTGACAACACAAGATAAAAAATAAAAGCAACGTGAGAAATCTCGTAAAAGATTAATCTCTTATTAATCGAATATAAATGAAGATTGCAATGTTATCATCATGTACTATGTTACGATTTATTATCTTTGATGTTGTTAAGATATCGCACGAGCATCGTGCCAAATCTCTGAATTTGTAAATCTCCAACTATATAAAGCGGCACCTTCCTTTTCGAAAACATAACGAGTTTGAGATCGTAAAGTAAAATGTCGAGGATAGCGAATACGATATTCCCCATCTTCTTCTTCTTCATCTTTTTGTCCGTTTCGACTCGGACAACGCTTGGTGAAGATAGTTCGGATCTAAACGATAAAGTTTACAGTTTCGCAGAACCAGAAAGATCACTTCAAGATGAGCAAGAAAATACCAAAGATACTACCGATAACATAGATCTATCGATGCAGCAGACAAATATACAGAACGTTAAAGAAAAGAATGAATCGTTTAAAGAAGACGAACAGGAAATGATCGATTTTTCTGACAATAACGAGACTTTAATTAACAAAAATAATGAAGAAGTAAATAACGAGGTGAGTGTAATTATTTCTGATCATATATTGAAATGAATGAAATTATAAATTCAGGAAAAATTTGTTTTTTTTTATAAATAGATTGAACGTGCAGTTATGATACAACATTTAGAAGAATTAATCGAGAATTTATCGGAATATATGAAGAAAAAAGATAAGGAACAACAGACCCACGATAAAATTGGACAAGTATATAAGAAAAGAGAAATTAAAACACGAAACAGCTTACCAAAACGTCAAGTAATTTCTACTGATGGATGTTTACTAACGGAAGTAATTCCAACGGCAGTAACATCGGTGTCATCGTCATCATCATCATCATCATCATCATCATCATCATCGTCGTCAAGTTCATTGGCTACAACATCGTCATCGTCATCGTTTAGTTTTCCGACGCCTTTACCACTGGAAGTTTTGAAGCAGATAGAGTGTGCCGTTGAAGCGATTGAATACGGACACTCTCATTTATTAAGTACAATAGTACACGAAATTTTATGCGAAGTAAAGAAACTGCTGCATTATCTGTTGCACGCGTGTCTCAATTTGTTGAGTGAAATCTCAATTGGACCACAGAATAATTTATTGGAAGCTGACATCGGTTCAATTTTTGTTGAATTCTTAGAGCGTGCCCCAGTGATAGTTGCAGAATTATTGAAGGAACCACAACATCTGCTCGCTTTACCAGAGATTATAATAAATGCTATACCATTAGAAGACATCGTTCTAACGATCAATAGGTTGAAGGAAGATTTTCTACTTCTCTTGGAACGTATTTATCCGGCTTTTTCTCAACTATTTAAAAGTATCATCGAAATAAAAGGAAAGGAAATTGACATCATCTTATCTTACGTCGATGCATTCAAGACGTTTTTCTTAAATTTGATCACGAGTTTTATAACAAGTGCCGATATATTGCTAAGTGATGTGCAAATTGGACCGACCTTTTTAAATTTCGTTAAAGCTGTTTACGATGGTTATCAAGCGTCTGGTATCCAAGAAATATTTATCAATAGTCAGTCATCGGCTTCGTCATCGGCTTCATCATCGGTTACCACTTTGTCGGAACAAGACGAAGTCTTACCCGTGATACCGCTATCATCGCAATCTACTAGCTCTGCTGCTGTAACCACCACCTCAACAAGCGAAGCAGAAATTGTACCCATTCAAGAACCGTTAATTCCATCTGTCCCAGTGCCTTCTAGTGAAGTAAGTACTTCTTCTTCAACTTCGACAACTACTGTTGTTAGCGAGCCGAAAATCTTGATCGAAGAAATTCCATCGACCATAACCACAACAACGACGACAACAGCTGCAGCGGCAGCAACAGCAGCAACAGGAGCAGTAGCAACGACATCAGCAGCCAGCTCCTCTTCTTCCAATCTATTAAGTCCAATCTCAAATATCGACACTACCGACGTAGTGTCTTCTTCGTCGAGTTCTTCCTCATCCACTTCAAGTGTCTCAACTCTGCCAGAATTAGACGAAACAGTTACATCATCTACAGCGACATCATCCAGTTCTTCATCTTCCACATTACCAGAATTATCTAAAGCATTAGTCGAACCATCCTTTTTATCACGCGTGATACCAATAATTTCATCAATTTCAAGTAGAACAAAAGATCTAACTAGTGCAACTTCTTCAGCAATTTCAGATGGAAATCTCTTGACTGATACTACTGCTTCTTCCTCCTCTGCTTCTTCCTCTTCCTCTAGCTCCTTGTTATCGAGCATTAACCCAGTAATTTCCACTGTTTCACCTTCATTAACATCAAGCAGTGCTTCCAGCAGTGCCTCCTCCTCTAGTTTCATTGATAATTATGCATCCCCTATTACTCGTATAAAAAATATTCTTCCAGTAACTAGCACAAATTCGGCAAGCAGTTCTTCCGCAGTCAGTACGTCTTCTAATCCTACGATAATTGTCCCTTCATCACCAATTCTAAATCCTTATAGAAGAAAGTTTCAAGTAAGTTCTGCTGTTCCTGCTGTCACAAGTTTATCAGCAACAACTTCTGCAGCAGAGTCTTCAGGTATCTCTTCCAGTAGCCTCTCAGGATTCCCTTTGAAACTAAAGTGGCCAGTGGTTTTACCCAGAAACAAAGTTATTGCCGCTATTGGTAACAATAATCTCATACCAGGAGACATTGTCCTCATGACCTTAAAGTCAAATAAAACCTACTTCAGTCGTATCACCGACGAAATCAGTCCACTAACATTCGAGTTTCTTAAACCTAAAATGTTTCCAGGAATTTTGAATACTTTCGGCAGAATTTGGAAACTCGTTCCAGGAGATTTCAATGATATTAATTGTGAATCTCTCTTCAATAGTATATATTAATCGAATATATACAATAAACATAATTAATATATATAAATAATACAAGTTAATAACGATTGTTATATCGAATTTTATGAAATAAATGAATATCTATTTTTTTACCATATATTATACATTCTATATATATATTCTTATGGTCTGTGACGCAAACCTTTTTTTCCTTATCCTTTAAATAAAATTCAAAATGTATGATAATAATTAAACAATTACACATTTTCAACCAAATTATTCTCTAAGCAATTAAGCAAATTGGATTATTCTTTATTCAGACACGTAAAACTGTAGTACTAAAGTATATAATTAATTCAATCAAATATAATAATATCTCTAAGTTCATATTTTCTAGTATCAAATGGAATATATATTCACTAATTAAATATTCATTCTCAAACATTTCCATAAAAAATAATCGATTTTTTTACAGTTGCTATTTATTGAATACGGATGACTACTAATTTTTAATCAGTATATTAAAAAAATGATAAATATTTATAATAAGACATCAATATTTACTATAAATATTTCTCCAAATAATTCAAATTTGTCAATATTTTTATTAAAATATTTGTGAATATTTAAATAATTTGTCAGTATTTTAAATAGACGGCCAGTAATTCTAATAAATCAAGACGCCATCCTGATACTTAATTATTTATAATGACCAGTTATATTACGAAACTGATATGTTATTATAGATAATGAACAAAATATTCATGTTTCTATTAAAAGTCAAAAAAAAATTCGAAGAGATCATTCAATGTATCGTAACAAACAAGTTTAGCAAATTACAATGACAAATTTCGAATTAAAAAAGGGATTATACTTTTTATGTGTATATTTGTGCGTTTGTGCATATAGAAAAGCGTAATTAGAAAAGTAAAGTATATTTACGGATTTCTTTGTTCTCTTTTATGGAAACATATAGTATTATGAAATGAAATGGAAAACAAGGACAGGAAGTTTAAATATTTGTTGTTTGAAAAATGGATATGTAAAAAGACGTACAAAAGATGTTCGTATCGAAATCAATCAGTAAAATCTCGAACGATGATCGAACAAAGTTTGAATATGACATCGACAATTAAGTATTTTCGTGAATTTAAGTAATTTCTTTTTAGCAATCGAATACGATCGGATAAGGAAGAATGGTTATATCAATATATGTACATAATGATGTGGAAATAATTATGTTTTAAAATATCTTGTTTGATATGAGATACGCATCATCACAAAATGACAAAAAATACTTATACACAACCTCCAACAAGGTAAATTATCAAATATTTTTTTCTTATCTCTTTTTATATACAGAAAATATTAATCGAAGAACAAAACGAATAAAACTAAATTACATTTACATTCAAATATCTCACGTCGAAATTCAAAAGATTTCCACCTGCCTACGAGATATCAAACTAAGTTAAAAGTCACGATTATAATTTCTTCGATATATTACTGTTACACTGCTTCACCATTAATATACAAACAAAACATTATCAGGTGGAAATTTATGAAAATATCAATAAAAATACGTGTAATAAAAATGGCACGTAAAAATGTGGTACAAAATTTCATTGATTATCCTATCCCTTGAATTCTCATAATAAACAAGGATACTTACCGAAAACGTATGATGTTATATCAATTTTGATCTCTCATTTTGAAGAAAAAACGTGATGGAGAATAACGAGTCAAATGAAGATAAAAAAATAACGTGAGATATCTCATAAAAGATTAATCTAATATAAACGTTTTAATCGAATATAAACGACGATTGTAATGTTATTATCATTTTCTGTGTTACGATTTATTATCTCCGATATTATTAAGATACCGCACGATCATCGTGCCAAATCTCGAGCTGGGATTGTAAATCTTCGACTATATAAAGCAGTTCTTTTCTTTCCAAAAACATAACGAGTTTGAAATCATAAAGTAAAATGTCGAGGATAGCGAATACGATATTCCCCATCTTCTTCTTCTTCATCTTTTTGTCCGTTTCGACTCGGACAACGCTTGGTGAAGATAGTTCGGATCTAAACGATAAAGTTTACAGTTTCGCAGAACCAGAAAGATCACTTCAAGATGAGCAAGAAAATACCAAAGATACTACCGATAACATAGATCTATCGATGCAGCAGACAAATATACAGAACGTTAAAGAAAAGAATGAATCGTTTAAAGAAGACGTACAGGAAATGATCGATTTTTCTGACAATAACGAGACTTTAATTAACAAAAATAATGAAGAAGTAAATAACGAGGTGAGTGTAATTATTTCTGATCATATATTGAAATGAATGAAATTATAAATTCAAGAAAAATTTGTTTTTTTTTTTTATAAATAGATTGAACGTGCAGTTATGATACAACATTTAGAAGAATTAATCGAGAATTTATCGGAATATATGAAGAAAAAAGATAAGGAACAACAGACCCACGATAAAATTGGACAAGTATATAAGAAAAGAGAAATTGAAACACGAAACAGCTTACCAAAACGTCAAGTAATTTCTACTGATGGATATTTATTAACGGACGTAATTCCAACGGCAATAACATCGGTGTCATCGTCATCATCATCATCATCATCATCATCATCATCGTCAAGTTCATTGGCAACAGCATCGTCATCGTCATCGTTTAGTTTTCCGACGCCTTTACCACTGGAAGTTTTGAAGCAGATAGAGTGTGCCGCTGAAGCGATTGAATACGGACACTCTCATTTATTAAGTACAATAGTACACGAAATTTTATGCGAAGTAAAGAAACTGCTGCATTATCTGTTGCACGCGTGTCTCAATTTGTTGAGTGAAATCTCAATTGGACCACAGAATAATTTATTGGAAGCTGACGTCGGTTCAATTTTTGTTGAATTCTTAGAGCGTGCCCCAGTGATAGTTGCAGAATTATTGAAGGAACCACAACATCTGCTCGCTTTACCAGAGATTATAATAAATGCTATACCATTAGAAGACATCGTTCTAACGATCAACAGGTTGAAGGAAGATTTTCTACTTCTTTTGGAACGTATTTATCCAGCTTTTTCTCAACTATTTAAAAGTATCATCGAAATAAAAGGAAAGGAAATTGACATTATCTTATCTTACGTCGATGCATTCAAGACGTTTTTCTTAAATTTGATCACGAGTTTTATAACAAGTGCCGATATATTGCTAAGTGATGTGCAAATTGGACCGACCTTTTTAAATTTCGTTAAAGCTGTTTACGATGGTTATCAAGCGTCTGGTATCCAAGAAATATTTATCAATAGTCAGTCATCGGCTTCGTCATCGGCTTCATCATCGGTTACCACTTTGTCGGAACAAGACGAAGTCTTACCCGTGATACCGCTATCATCGCAGTCTACTAGCTCTGCTGCTGTAACCACTACCTCAACAAGTGAAGCAGAAATTGTACCCATTCAAGAACCGCTAATTCCATCCGTCCCATTGCCTTCTAGTGAAGTAAGTACGTCTTCCTCAACCTCGACAACTACTGTTGTTAGCGAGCCGAAAATCTTGATCGAAGAAATTCCATCGACCATAACCACAACAACGACGACAACAGCTGCAGCGGCAGCAACAGCAGCAACAGGAGCAGTAGCAACGACATCAGCAGCCAGCTCCTCTTCTTCCAATCTATTAAGTCCAATCTCAAATATCGACACTACCGACGTAGTGTCTTCTTCGTCGAGTTCTTCCTCATCCACTTCAAGTGTCTCAACTCTGCCAGAATTAGACGAAACAGTTACATCATCTACAGCGACATCATCCAGTTCTTCATCTTCCACATTACCAGAATTATCTAAAGCATTAGTCGAACCATCCTTTTTATCACGCGTGATACCAATAATTTCATCAATTTCAAGTAGAACAAAAGATCTAACTAGTGCAACTTCTTCAGCAATTTCAGATGGAAATCTCTTGACTGATACTACTGCTTCTTCCTCCTCTGCTTCTTCCTCTTCCTCTAGCTCCTTGTTATCGAGCATTAACCCAGTAATTTCCACTGTTTCACCTTCATTAACATCAAGCAGTGCTTCCAGCAGTGCCTCCTCCTCTAGTTTCATTGATAATTATGCATCCCCTATTACTCGTATAAAAAATATTCTTCCAGTAACTAGCACAAATTCGGCAAGCAGTTCTTCCGCAGTCAGTACGTCTTCTAATCCTACGATAATTGTCCCTTCATCACCAATTCTAAATCCTTATAGAAGAAAGTTTCAAGTAAGTTCTGCTGTTCCTGCTGTCACAAGTTTATCAGCAACAACTTCTGCAGCAGAGTCTTCAGGTATCTCTTCCAGTAGCCTCTCAGGATTCCCTTTGAAACTAAAGTGGCCAGTGGTTTTACCCAGAAACAAAGTTATTGCCGCTATTGGTAACAATAATCTCATACCAGGAGACATTGTCCTCATGACCTTAAAGTCAAATAAAACCTACTTCAGTCGTATCACCGACGAAATCAGTCCACTAACATTCGAGTTTCTTAAACCTAAAATGTTTCCAGGAATTTTGAATACTTTCGGCAGAATTTGGAAACTCGTTCCAGGAGATTTCAATGATATTAATTGTGAATCTCTCTTCAGTGATATTTATTAACTTTCAATGATATATATTAATCTTTAATAGTATATATTGATCGAATTTATAGAATAAACATAAATATTTTTGATTGTTATCACTAATATTATGAAACAAATAAATAAAAATCTATTTTTGCATCATATATTGTATATTCTATACACTTTCTTATAATCCGCAATGCAAATGTCTTTTTTTTTTTTTTTTTTTTTATATGCACAGCGTGTAGAAAAAAGAACATACACATACACACACATATATATTTCTAAGAAAATTATTCTCTAAACTGTTAGGTGAAGAGATTTATTCTTTATCGAGTTATATAAAATTATAATACAAAAATATATAATTAACTCCATTTAGAAAATGACAGAAAATTAAATATTTAATATTTTGATAAGAAATTTTTCTTTCTGTTAACGATATTTAATAGATAAGACATCTGTTATTATTGAAATGATTACTTTGCTTATGTAATCCAATAGAACTATGTATAGTATATTTATATAAATTATGGTTTTCATTAGTAAGTTGGTTATTAATAAAATCGAGATTAATTAAATAAAGAATGATAAAATGCCGGCTGAAGAAATTAATTCTAAAATGTCTACGTAAGATTCTACAAAGAAAATTATATAAAAGATAGAAATCATAATGATAACTAATAAAAATTCGTGATGAAAAGAACGAAATATTTAATAATTTAACAAAAACATAATAAAAAGGAAAAGAATACACACACGAATAAAAACTTACGGACAAATACTATCCAGAGCTATGAAAACATTTCTGTTTTTTCGATACATTTAACGCAAGTGTTTTAAATTGATACTTCATATAACCAAATTTATAATCATTAAAAAAGATTTAGCGGAATGGTAAATATATGCGTTATTGATAAAATTAGTATATAAGAGAGATGACGTTGAAGACCGTCAAAATACTTTAAAAGGGGTTTTTGATTAAAATCAACGGAATCATGGCACGACGTACTTTCTTAACAGTCTTATTGGCATCTACCATCTTGGCATATGTACAGGTAAGCTCATTTTGACTGTACAATTATAATAAAATATCAAATTTACGATTAATAAAAACATAAAGAGAATAAAGTTCAATACGTTCTTTTTCTTTTCTTTCTTTCTTCCTTTTTTTTCTTATTATGTTAAGAAATAGTTTATCGATCAGGAATATATTCAAATGTTGCATTCAACTTATGTACCCAATTATTAAAATGTGTAAGTCACTTAATATTTAATACTCTTTATTGTATCTCGCATAATGTTTTGTATTTAATTTTAATATTATCACAATTTTTTGAAACTTCTTGAAATATTTTAAAATAAAGACTTTAATTTAATTATGAACAGATAGCCCGTATGAAAAACACATTACATATTCTTTTATATATATATATATATATATATATATATATATATATATATATCTTGTGTATGAGTGTCTATTTTATATATATATATGAATAATGTGTCTTAATAATATAATACTTATCCAATAAGATAAATATATGTAAGATATAAATAAAAATTCGTTGATATCATTATCACAGACTAATCCCGTATCGGGCAACGTTCTAAACACAGTAATTATACCGAATCAATTACTCGAGCCCGAAATATCTGTATTCCAAAATAATTTAAAAGAAACATGGACAAACGTGAAGAATACGATACAAGAAAAAATCAAGGAATTGGTTGAGGATTCCTCAATCAGCAATGACTTCTTAAATACTGTCGAAACGTTGATTCATAAACTCAAACTAACGATTGAAGAAAGTATTGAAGGTAGTGATAAACTTAAGGATCCCGAACCATCTAAAAATGAACTAGTGTATAGTTGGGTGGAACATCAGAAAACATTTGAGGAACAATATGAAGAAATGAAAAATTCAAATGTGCAAGCGATCAGTGATGAAATTAAAAATGCAATAAAAAAAACAAAAGCAGCTATACAAATCGCTATAGATATTGTTCGCGCGCGAATAGAAAATATTGAAAAGGTATAATAATACGTTTAACACAATAGATCATAGATCAATCGATTAATATTGAACATGTGGATGTATTCGTATTGGATAATAATCTTTTCTTCTTTTTATTTTATTAAATTTTAATTTTCATTAGAACAACGATAAGGAAATAGTAATACAATATGATGACGATGGTCTTAAAATTAACGACAAGGTATGGCAAAGTTGGAACGAATTCAAGAACCAGCTTAAGGAAAAAATATTGAATAATCCTAAAGTAAAAGATATTGTTGAGAAAACTAACAAGATGATAGAAAAAATTAAAGATGACCTGGAAAATATTATTGACGCTATTGACAAAGTATGTATTAAAGATATAAATATCTACGAAACATACAAGACAAAATTAATTAAATGCGTTTTCCTACATTTATTATACAATAATTGATTTGTTTGTCCTCTTTTTCTTCTTTTTTCCATTATCACTAGACCAGATATTTTGAAGAGAAAAAGGACGATTTCGCGAATTACAGTTGGAAAGAAAGATCAAAGAAAACTTTGGAGAACTTAAAGAAGAAACTTGAAGACAACTTGAAGGATAATTTGAACAAACCCAAAGTACAAGCAATCATCAAGAAAACTAATAAAACGATCGAAAATACTAAAGATACCATCAAGAAAATTATAGAGTCTATTAGAAACAGCATCGACAAAAATCCCAAGGTATATAATAATGCCATAATATATCTACGATACATACATAATCAAATTTATTAGAAAAATTAATTAAACATGTATTTCTATACCTATTGAACAATAATTGATTTGCTCGTTAGTTTTCATTTCTTTTTTACTTTTTCTTTTCTTTATTAGCAACCAGAAAATCCTGAAAATGAAGAAGAATTAAAAGATGGCAGAATGGAAGATCTTGAATCTGATGTTTTTGGAAAAACAGTAAAGGAAGGTTGGAATGACTTCAAGAAACATATTGACGATAAATTCAAGAAAATTTTGAACAATCTTGAGGTAAAAGAAATCTTCGAGGCTTTAAAAAAAGAAATCAAAAAGAGGTTTCCGAACGTATGTATTAACAACATAACATACTTATGATACATATGCGATCAAATTAATTAGACATGTATTTCTATATCTATTGAGCAATAATCGATTTTCTCGTTAGTTTTCATTTTTTTTTTCACTTTTTCATTTCTTTATTAGCAACTAGAAAATCTTGAAAATTATGAATTTGATGTTTTTGGAAAAACAGTAAAGGAAGCTTGGAATGGCTTCAAGAAACAGGTTGACGATAAATTGAAGAAAATTTTGAACAATCCTGAGGTAAAGGAAATCTTCGAGGCTTTAAAAAAAGAAATCAAAAAGAGGTTTCCGAAGGTATGTATTAACAACATAACATATTTATGATACATATGCGATCAAATTAATTAGACATGTATATCTACATCTATTGAACAATAATCGATTTGCTCGTTAGTTTTCATTTTTTTTTTCACTTTTTCGTTTCTTTATTAGCAACTAGAAAATCTTGAAAATTATGAATTTGATGTTTTTGGAAAAACAGTAAAGGAAGCTTGGAATGGCTTCAAGAAACAGGTTGACGATAAATTGAAGAAAATTTTGAACAATCCTGAGGTAAAAGAAATCTTCGAGGCTTTAAAAAAAGAAATCACAAAGAGGTTTCCCAAGGTATGTATTAACAACATAACATATTTATGATACATATGCGATCAAATTAATTAGACATATATTTCTATATTTATTGAACAATAATCGATTTGCTCGTTAGTTTTCATTTTTTTTTCTCTTTTTCGTTTCTTTATTAGCAACTAGAAAATCTTGAAAATGAAGAAGAATTAAAAGATGGCAGAATAGAAGATCTTGAATTTGATGTTTTTGGAAAATCAGTAAAGGAAACTTGGAATGACTTCAAGAAAGATTTTAACGATAAATTGAAGAAATTGTTGAACAATCCGAAAATAAAGGAAATTATTGAGGAAGGTGAAAAGGTAGTCACACAAGGTAAAAACTCCGTCAAGGAATTCATTGAATCTATTCATAATCAAATTAAAAATATCAAGAATTAATTTGAAAATTATGATGGACATATATATACATATGTAATACATATGTATTACATATAGTATAGTTCATTGATATTATCATGAAATATGATCAATACGAACAATGAATATGTATTCATTTTTAAAAAAATTAAACAATAAAGTTTAACTATTGTCTTCATCTAATTTGAAGATTTTTATTTTTCTTTAAAGCATTATTATATATATATATGTGTGTGTGTGTGTGTGTGTGTGTGTGTGTATTTATATAAAGGAAAAGAAAAATTAAAAGAAAACAGAATTCTAAAAAGAAAAATATATTTTTCGATAAAAAAGAACGAAATCGTCGTTACATATAATATTAATTAGAAATTCCTTTATATAGATAAGATTATATTATATGAGTAAGGTTCATTGCATCTGATATTATTTAAAATATTAAATTTATTTCTAATATTACCGAAAATATCTTTAATCGAAATTAACGTAATATATGATTAATGAAATATATCATAAAAATAAAACTTTTTACTTAAGATCAATTCAAATGATGTTTTCGAATGAAAGAGAGGGATATAATAAGAGAAAGAAAAATAAGATTTATACGATACAAGTTGAAATGTTCGCGAGGTCAAGGTTCTTATAAAGACAAAGATAAACCGAGAATACCAAACACATTTGTACATGCACGTATACGAGACGTATACGAGACGCGTACGAGCACGTATACGAGACAAAGACAGAGACAGAGAGAGAGAGAGAGACAGAGAGAGTGAAAGAGAGAAAAAGAGAGAGAGAGAGAGAGAGAGAGAGAGAGAGAGAGAGAGAGAGAAAGAAAAAGAGGACAGAAAATTATTTCACAATTACATATATGTCGATAGTGTAAGAGTTGAATAGACAAAATTATATGTTTGATAACGAGACGCATCGATGAAGATTTTTCCGTAGAACCTTGTCCTCGAGAAAAACTCTACCATTATTCACCCAAGTGCACTTTACTCTATTGATAAAAATATATAAATACAAATATATAAATATATATATATATATATATATATATATATATGTATTTACGTATATATGTTTTTATGATAGCAAAGTATCAAAGTATCGAAATAATTGATGAACGTTTTATATGATTTCGATTAAAACTGAGTTATAGACAAAATCAAAAATGATGAAACATTTTTCTTTCTTTCAAATGACTACTAGTTTCAATATCGTGAAAAAAATGAATCTGTGTGGTTTATCAAAATCGATTGATAATTTAAATCGTGGAACGTTAACTTTTTTCACTTATGAAATGATAAGATTTGAATTTTTCAAATTGTAATGATAAAAAAAGAAAAAAGAAAAGAAAAAAATAATTATTATTAATAATAATAATAATAATAATAATAATAATAATAATAATAATAATAATAATAATAATAATAATAATAATAATAATAATAATTATAATAATAATAATAATAATAATAATAATAATAATAATAATAATAATAATAATAATAATAATAAAACGAAACGAAAAACACAAAAAGAAAATTGATATTGATAGTAACTTCGAAGAGAAATATTTAATATATTATTCAGAATTGGAATGTGTTTAAGAGAAATGAAATCGAAGAAAATTATCGTCTATCTCTTTCTCTCTTTCTCTCTCTTTCTTTAATTTCAAATAAAAACGAGAATATCGTTCTTCTCCTTCTTAGTTAAATGAAGATAAACTACTCTTTGCCCTCGTGTAGCGACATTAATAGATGATAAGCATCGTCTATAAAGGAAGCAATATCAGAAGTTCGTGTATCAGTCTTCTTTAGTAATCTGACGAGTTTGAATTCTTTGAAGAAGGAAGAAAAAGAAAAAAGATCATCGAAAATGAAGATCGCATATCTGATCGTCCTAACAGTATTTCTCGTTTATACCGAGGCTAAAGTAGTACCACCTAGCAATGTTGAAGCTCAACAAACGTCGAATCAACCTCTTCAATTATCCGAATTAATTAGTCAAGCACAAGCGAATATCAATACTTTGGCAGTTCAGCTTCAAGAAAAACTGAATCTTCCTGATCAAGAAACCCTCATTAAAAACGTCAAAGAACAAAGTACGAGTTTCGTGAACAATTTACAGGAATTCGTGAAAAATGTAACAGAACAGGTAAGACGGTCTCTCTTTTGATTAATATTATAATACATTTGCAACGTTTGCCAAATAAGAAAAAAAGATGTACATAAAAAGATTTTTTTTTTTTTTTTTTTTTTTTTTTTTTAATCTATACCTTGTCATATAACTTTAGAAAATGTACGCGTTATTTAATTGTTACAAGTTTTTAATACATATCATTTAAGGGAACTCGCAATTGAACTCTCCAATCGAATTTTGATAACTTCTGAAATGAAGAGAAGAGGAAGATAGAAAATATAACCTTCGAGAGATGCAGGAGAAGAAACAGTATTTCTTGAAATATTTAAAAAAGAATATATAATATAAACATTTTAGAACAATTGAATAAATCAATTTTTTCAAGCTTAACCATTGTTTTTTCTTTTTTTTTTTTTTTTTTTTTTTTTTTTTTTTTTTTTTTTACTTATTATTTTGTTTATTCCGATCTGTCTTTTATGAAAAAATTGTTTGGCAAATTAAAAAAAGGATCAGTATTAAGGTCTATTAAGATTTTGGATGAAAATATAATCGTAAAAATGAACTTTGTACAACACAGGTTAACGAAAAAACTCCAGAATTAGAAAGACTGTGGACTGACGTGAAGGGAAAATTAAACAAGGTCGTTGAAGATATCAATGCTCAAATTCCAAATGCAGGTGAACAGCTAAATCAATTGCAAACCAAGTTACAAGAAGGATTACAAATCGTCGTACAAGAATCCGACAAGACAGTCAAAGCTGTTAGTAAAAATTCGGAGAAAGTACAAGAAGACATTGCCAAATTTACAAAGCAAGCTGTCGAACTTGCTGTTCAAACCACGCAAAATCTAAACAGTCAATTGCAACAAACGGCTAAAAGCAGTTAAAAAAATATATATATACATATATACAAATGAATAAATAAAAAAGAAACAAGAAAAAGAATGATTTAAAATTCGTCGATGTTATTATATTCTTTTTATTCACAAAATGAACTAATTAAAATTAATCTAAACGTACAATGTCGCAATTTCGATAAATGTGAGGAAGGGAAAAAAAAAGAAAAAAAAGGAAACACGTGTTAAGATGAGAAACTATTTTTGTATTTGAAAAAAGAAAATAATAAATAAATAAATAAATATATTTTACTGTATTAAACCATATCATATTTTTCTTTTTTGTTTTCTTTCCACAAATATTTCTCCTTCGATAAATTTCTTTTAATTTACATCTTATTATTATCTATTTGATTTCTCAAAGGAGAACAAAAAAAAAATTTGTTACTTCAATTTTATATCTTACGAATTTTCACGCTTATTAATTTTATTTAAGCAAATATTATATTTATATTTGAGATCACTGTGCCGACATAATATTTTTCATAAATTTCGAGATATTAAAAATTTCTAAATAATACAAAATATACGTTAGAAGTTCCTAAACATTTTTCAATAAATAAATCTATTAATTTCGCGATAAAAAAAAATTTTACTTAACGTATAAAAATCATATGAAATATCATATATGATTACGAGTAATTTTAATAACTGATTAGGTAATACTGCTGAATCATTTCGATTACATATCCACTTATATAAAAAAAAAATCGTCATATTTATTTCGCAATAAAATTTCGTATTTCTACAATACCAAAAAGATGTTCAAATTTTTATATGAAATAAGCGTTTCTTATAATTTGATAATAATTTTTCACATATGTATCGTCTAGTAAATTTGTAATAATTAATAAATTGTTCGTAATATATTACTATCTTTCGTTTTCATTAATTCATATTGACAGTTTAAGATAATAATTTCATTTGGAAAAGAGAAAAATTATCAAACTTTAATAATGATAATAATAATAATTATTATTATTATTATTACTATTATTATTATTATTATTATTATTATTATTATTATTATTATTATTATAAAATAGATAAGTTCTTAGTTCCAATCATTTAGACCATTGGACCATCATGAGTATATATATATAATAAAAAATATATTATATATATATATATTTATTACATTTCTATATATATATATTTATTACAATTTCTTAAAATATACACATAAATAAATATATAAATAATATTTTACGTGCGTGTGTGCGTGCGTGTGTGTGTGTATGTGTGCGTGTGTGTGCGTGCGCGCGTGTGTGTGTGTGTGTGCGTGCGTGCGTGTGTGTGTGCGTGCGTGCGTGCGTGCGTGTGTGTGTGCGTGCGTGTGTGACTTTATGAATTTATACGTAATAATAAAACAAAAAATTTTATATTGCATATTGAAATATACCTTTAACCTAAATTAATCAGAAAAAATTGTCAATCGTTTCATAATTTTCAATGTAACGATTTGCGAACGCTTTATAAAAGAAATTATTTAGGTCACTACGTTCACAGTCGTTACTTGATAACACCAGAGACTTTATACGCGTTATTTATTGCTCGACTTGATAAGTGAATTATTTCAATAGAAAAACGAAACAAAAAAAAAATAAGGAAGCACCATAAAATTTACTATTAATAACTTACTACACTAATCACACGCGCACACGCACATTCACGCACACACACACAAAATTTCATTACGTTTATCATCAGGAAAAATGAAATCGTGCATTTTATTTTTTTTATTACTTGTGGTAAGTTCAAAGATCTAACCTATATATATATATATATATATATATATATATTTTTTTTTTTTTAAATCGTCAAAACAATTCATACAAAATAAAAAATACAATATTGTAGTCAAATCAATATCAAAATATTTATTGCGGCGAAATGAAATTTATTTTATTTATTTTTTTTTTGTTTGTATCGAATAGATATCCTTAGGAGTTAGTCAAGTAAGGCTTAATAAAAAATATAAAACATTATTGCAAAAGCTCAATGAACTTTCTGAGCAAGATCGAATCAAATCGAAGAAAGAAGAAATTAATTCCAAGGATATAAGATCCAATAAAATAAATAATGGATTCGAAAAAGTGATCGATTTCGTTAATGTTTTAGGACAAATAAATGACTTCGTTTCAGACAGAACGAAGAATATTATTCGAAAACTTAATAATTTATACAACTCGGACGAGGACGAATATTAGTGATATTTTACATTAATACGTAAGTTAAAAAGAAGAAAACAAATTCTAATATACATTCACATATCTGTCTGCGTGTTATTATCTTAGAAAAATTATTATGAAAAAAAACAAGTAACCAGCCATTATTAAAAAGTAAACAAAGTGAAATATGTTAACTAATTACTCGATCTTAATAATATTATTCTATAATGATTTTATTAGATTTAATATTGTTAACATGATATTAATACGTACATATTTTTTACAAATCCAAATAGATTATTCCAATGAAACAGTTCTCATCTTCAGAAATTTGATTTGATCCGAAATTACACTGTTCCACTAGTTACGAATTTCAAATATGCATTTTGCACTCGTCGCGCCATCTACAGACGTAAAAGAGAACTTTGTGTCATTATCCAATCAAATTTCTTTTTTAATTAAATAAATTGTTTAATAAACATCGTATGTTATTTAATAAATATCGTATTATAAAAGTATTTACAAATTTTATATTGTATTTTTTGAAAGAAATTCTTATATTAAAAGAATAAATTATTTTAATAATTATATAAGTTCGGATATAAAAATATGATTTCTCATAAGAAAATAATAAAAATCTATTGAACATTTTTAAGGAGAAATTAAAAAATTACAAAATAGAGATGTTTTTCCAACTGAGATACTCGATGTGCAATAAAAATACGTTATATATACATACATATATATATATGTATATTTGATGGTTATATATATACATAGAAAAGAAAAGAAAGAAAATCAAGAGTCGCTTAGAAGTACGTAGGAATTTTCATGGAGGAACGCATGCTGATTGGTCGTTGAAAGATATCGTAAATAAAAGGGAATTGGATCTCAACAAAAAGATGATATATATGTTGGTACGTAACGAGATAGATTATTCGCCAGGTGGCGACTGTGCTGCGGCAGTCACCGGGATCGGGTTGATCGGGCGGCTTGTGTGCTAGCTTTTATCGTTTACCACATGTTGATTAATTAATTAAAAATATATTCTAAGAAAGGAAGAAATAATAGGAAAGTACGATCTCTCTCTCTCTCTTTCTCTCTCTTACAAACACATTTTCGTAACGTTGTTAGACCGTAAACTCGTGTTGAACATTTCATTCCACGCGGAAGGTGGAACCTAGTTACGTCACGCAGCACCAAGAGAAATATCGTGTGTCGAGCAGCTCCTGCCTCCCCCGTGTACGTCAACCTTCAAAATCCCGACACGTTCTTCTTCTTCCACCTTTCCACACGTCCTTGCATCTGTCAAACTACAGTGTCACGCACGCGCGCGCGTTCTTTTTCAACGAGACGAACGTGCTATTGCAAGGGACTTTCAGCATAACCTAAAAAAGCCAATTACAAATGTGTCAATAGTTATCTCGGCCAGTAAGGCCTATTGTCAATTTCAATTTTTGTGAATTTAAAAAAATTCTATAAAGACATAATTAAAATTGTGTAACCTCGTAACTATCAAATACTTACCGGCGTCACGTTTTTCCTCTTTTCCATCATTATTTCTTTATCTCCATTTCTCCTTTTTCTTTTTTTCTTTCTTCCATCTCTTTTCTTCTTACTATTTTTCTGTTTCCGTCTTTCCCGCTTTCTCCCTCTCTGCCTTCGTTTCTTGCGTTCTCTCTCTTTCTCCCCCCCTTTCTCTCTCTCTCTCTCTCTTGCTTTCTCGCTTTCTCTCTCTTCCTCTCTCTCTCTCTTTCGCTTTCATTCTCTATCTCTCTCTCTCTCTCTTTCCCTCTTTACCTTTTTGTCGTTTAACGAGAAACTATAGAAAAAAATTTCTTTTGACGCTAAAAGATTATTAGGAAAATTTAGTCAAAATTCCGATCCCTATATATATATATATTAGGAAACAAGAAGGGCACCATCAAATAGGCGCCAGAAATCCACCAACCACTGACGAGGAAACGTCAACGGCTGGCAGGATGAATAGCAAGAGAAAGAATCGTTCTAATCCTACTAGGTATTGCTTCTAATTACAAATCTTTCTTTCTTTCTTTCTTTCTTTGTTTCCTTCTTTCTTCTTATTTCTTTTCTTTACTTATTTCCTTGCTTTCTTTTTTCTATTTTTTCTTTTTTATAAATGCAAACATCGAAATATAGACAAAAAAAAGAAAAGAAAAACAAAGACAATATGAATCTATTGAGTAAGGTTTATTATGAGAATAATATAAATTCTTAGGTCACCACGAGCAAGAGGGCCACAAGATAGATGTGTTGCTGCTGAAGGTGTTTATAATAATGCACACTTTATGCATTCTGTCACTAGCCATGTTGGTAACACAGTGCAGGTATTTAACTTGTTTTTTTTTTTCTTTTTTAAGATTTACTCTTCCAAAAGTGTAAAAGTTTAAGTAAATTTGACTCAAGCATGCACGGAATGTTTTCATGCATATTCCTTTTTATAAAAATTAATATATTTCAAATATTGTTGTAGATACAAACACAAAATGGTTCAGTTTATGAAGGAATTTTTAGAACTTTCTCCAGTCGTTTTGATGTGGTTCTAGAGATGGCTCATCGGGTAGAAAGTTCCGGGAAAATTAGTGTCGAAAGTGTAGTAGAAAAATTGATTTTTAAACCTCATGATATTATAACGATGTCTGCCAAGGATGTTGATCTAGATTATGCCATAAGAGATACTTTCCAAACGGATACTGCTATTAGTAAATTTAATGGTATAGTTGGAGAGAAGGAACTCGAGCCATGGGATGCGCCGTCTACTATGAATGGTGATGATTTAGAATTAGATGGTGGTGCTGTAAGTTTTTTGTGATTTTATATTGAAAATTATGAACGTAGTATTTAATTCGGTGAGTTATGTAGAGATAATTATATTTTTAGAACGGATGGGATGTAAACGAAATGTTCCGCAAAAATGAGCAGAAATATGGAGTTCAAACGACGTTTGAACCATCATTAGTTGGTTATACCTTACAACTTCAGCGTAAAGATACAAAAGATTACAAAGAACAGGAACAGAAGGCAGCA